TCGCTCTGGTGGTGTGACAACTGGCCTCCTGAGTAGCAGCACTCGTGTGGATCGCATTCATATAGCGTGGGATATCTTCTTCCACCATAGGATAGAACAGTATCTTGAACAGTGGTCGGGGTCTTAACGGCTCGCATTGGCGTCACCCTCCTGAGCTCTTGGACATCTTTTGCCTCCAACATTTCCATCATCACTGCTCGATTGGGCAACTCCGTGAAGAGACGGTCAAGGTTACTCCTTATCTATCCAACGATACTCCATGCATCTCTGAGTACTAGTGGGATAGTACTGCTCCGCGTTCATCCTTTGCAGAGGACGGGAAGTCCATGAGGATGCAGTGAAGGACCTTGCACCGTCGTCGACAGGGTATCCAAGATACAACACACATTACGGATTCCAATATATTCCTCTCCATAACAGATGCGGCATCGATTTCATCCCTTCCTCCTCGATTATCACCACACTCGTCGTGGATGTTCACGATATGGCTCGGTTGTTCATGGGCTACGGTCATGAGCAGGAACAGCCGATACTGGCAAAGACAGTCTTCAACTGGGGCACAACACGACGTTGGGCGATAGTGGAGGAGGAACTCAGAACAACGCGTAAATGGTAGTCATGTTGGGACATGGACGAACTTCGTAGTGGCCATGTCAATAGTGTGCAGCTGCATACGGTGCTCTCTACTATCATTGCGGTCATCAAAGCGTGAGGAGATGCCTAGGTCGTCACATGCCTGCATCGACACTGCGGCCACCAGGCGTCGACTACCATCACAGCTCACCTTGTGATAGAGGAGCGACTGGCTGAGTAGACGAGAGTGCCGCGTTTGGGCCTTGGACGGTAGCACTAAGTGGTCCTTGCATCCTAACAGCTGAGCAAGGTCCGAGTTATCAGCCAGGAAATCACACAGCCAAAAGCTAAGCCGAGGAGGAACCTAGAAACGAATGGTGGTGTATTTGGTTCTATCGTCAAGAAAATCCCACTCTAGGTTCTGCCGCCTCGAGCTGTTCTCCATCAGCTTCCGCTTCGGCCGTTACTTCAGGTCCCTGATGATCCGAGCCAGTTCCTGCTTGGGAACATAGACCTCGGCGCAGACAGCTGCGTCAGTGCTACCTCGCATACTATAGGCTTGATACTCTTCATGACCCTCCTGTGACAGGTCTTGTAGAAGTGAGTGGAATCCCAAGCGCGTGGACAGTATAGTATCTATCAACAAGCCACTAGCTATGATACCCAACGAACGATGTATGCTAGAGACGCCCGTGTAAGGGGGTCTTCCTCGAAGCTCTTGGCAGTGCGTCACCGGAGTAGCCGGAAAGTTCCGTCGACCAGCAGTCCTGCCCGTTTGCCCAGCGAGACTCCCTAGTGGATGTTTCTTTGCCCACCAAGATTCGGTAGGGAAGCCTCAACCCAGGGTCAGCTACCATTCCCCTTCTCGTCGCGATCTCTTCTACCCTTCCGCGGACTACTGAGCATTCCCAACACTCCTTCCAACGACACCTCTCCCTGGCCATCACCCAACCCGCTAGGCGAAGAGGTTGCGACACGAGACTAGCTGCTAATCTCACCTGTCACAGTTCGAATAGTGCTGCATAGCCTCGGGTATGATCGGAGGATCATGAGATGCTGGCCGGAGTAAATAATGGACACCTTCGACCTTCCCAATCTCCGATGAACGCAGACCATCACCGCTTATGATCGCCCCTCTGTTCTCATATCTACGAGTCCAGATTGGGACAGACAACCACTTACGTGACCCCAGCTCACGTTTGCGAGGCCGAAGGAGCCTGAGGCACTCTAGGGACTGCAAAACAGCGCTGGAAGCTGGCGCCAGCTCCCTCGCTGAATCTGAACATATCTATCCACCCTCCTCTCGGTCTACTATGCACCATACTTGACTGCTTTCGTAGCCCACTCCATCCCCGTTATGAAATCCAATCTCTGTGGCCCCATCATACCTGATCAGGAGCCTCTCTGAACTTGAGCCCCAAGAGCTGCCTAACGCCTACCGGAAAATTGAGATAGATGCCCGGGGGTCAACCAGGACCTTCTATTCTGCACGTCCTCCACCTCTATATCAGCATTCCTCACTCTCGCGGCCAAACATGCTGCCGAGTATGCCGGCTCAGGGAGTGGCTCTGGAGCCCTGCGGTTCCTCTGAACACGGCTCTCGAACGGGGAGGTTACTCAACCTTATCGTACGTCTATTTTATCACGTGCGGGAGTGGTAATGCCGGCCTTGCTACCACCCCTTCTGTAGTCCTCCACACGGTAGGTGAGCCCCTCGACAAGATCCCAGAACCCATTTCCAGACGGCTGCATCCGCAAGTCTCGAGCTGCATGTGCATACATCTGCCCACCTGAGTCGGCCAAAACCATGTAGGCACATACAGTCCATTGGCCGACTGAGGGCTAACATCCAATCTCTTCCGGTACTCACTATAAAGGGTTGATTCCTGCACATAGGTAGTTGCTAGAGCACTCAAATCGACACTTGGATTTGTCACAGACAATTCTCGTTGTGTCATTCGTGAGGATGAACTCATTTGGGCTGCGACCAACCATGATCAGTGAAAGCAAATTAACCAACTCGACCAGCAACCGCCGCGCGGCAAGCATCACCACATCGTAAAAGCATGACAACTATTCCCAAATAAGCACCAATCAAACCTCGTCTAGACCAAGGAGCGATGATCCACTATTTCACAAGGACAGACGAGGTTGACGATCACAAATCCATGTCATAAACAAATTATATAACGGACCAATCGAATGGAAGTATTGGCCGTGCCGAGGAATGTCATTGTATCACGTACTCGCTTACGCGAGAAAGTAGCTGGACACACTCCACCATACAAGCAGTTCCCATAGGGGTTCAACTGCAGTAGGTGGTATCAGTTCTGACGGGCTAGTGCTTGTCTTGCGGGATCTGCCTAGGTTGGAATCGGCGATTAGGAGTTGGCTGTCGTGGTGGTAGACCAACACCCGACCTATACAACGAGCCTTGACCAAAACGGGCGTTTCCTTGGCCAGATACCAGACGTCGAGACGGGATGAACGAGGGGTCCCTACAACAACGAGTATTGATGACCACAAGATTGGCGAGAATTCACCTGGCCGCTGGCATGGGGCGGGCTTGGCTGAGGGAAATAGTAGGCGCTTCATCCTGAAACGACAAGCCCTGCCTTCCCGTGACTATCTGAAGCCCAACCTCTCTATCCCTGATATCATTGTATGCATCTGGTCGACTCTCCGCGACTGTCGAGGCGGCACCGATTGAAGAGTTTCTCGAGGAGGTAGTGTGGACGACGCCAGCATCAAATCGACGTCCATGTCTCGAAGATACCCTCGAATTCTGCTGCCGTAGGCGGGAAGACAGGTTGAAATTCATCTTGGGCACTTTCGGGAGGGGTCTGCTTATATCAAATAAGTCGAGCTCATTCAGCGACTGTCCCTACCTTGGCACAAACAATTTGTCAGGATGGCCAGGGACTGCACCGAAGACCTCGGGCGACACCGAATATGCCATGATGTCCGCCACCAAATCGGTGAACCTGGAACGATAGTACTGTGCGACTAAGGACGAGACAGCACCAACCGCTTCAATGTGATATTCATATCCCAATTGAGGACCTTCAGGATGCCCATCTGAAGCTGGAGATACTCCCTCTTAGTATGCGCACTCGCGCTGTACTGCCCCATAATATGCGCCTGGCAAGAAGACTTCGCGGAGACAACGGAAGCGAGATCCTCACCGGATGTACAAAGTTGTCCTCCCACATCTTCTCCGCCAGCAGCATGCAGCACACCCACAACGACCTCCAAGATGTGTGATGCAAGCGAACCTGCAGGAGAAGCATCTGGTTAATACATCTCATACACGACCATAATTACCAAGCCCTTGTCGATCAGACGGACGAAGTAGTCTAAACCAGCCAGAACAGTGGCTAATGAGAAACAGCACCGTTGGGTCATCTTCAAAACGAAGGCCGCATCACTGTGGAACGACGGTACTCGAGGGTTGCCTAAAGTCGCGCCATCGAGACTGCACTTGAGTAGTATTGCACTCAACGCACCAGCAATATCGCTCTTCGGTACTGCAAACCTGCATTCGAAGGGGTTATTCATGAGCTGCTCATCGCTAGTCTTAGCCGAATGGACCAAGGATATCCTAACAACAGACTGCAACAGGATACCGGAAGCAAAACCCCCTACAGCTTCTGAGTGTAGCGCAGCATGAACGCCCTCTCGACACCCTCGGAAGCGTGCGAGAAGAGAGAAGAGTTGAACTCGGGGAGTAGCTCAGCATAGCGAGTAACGTCGTAGATAGGTAGGAAATCTGAAGCGCGAGTCACTATGTACGAGACCGTGGATCCATGAGACCCGTACTTGGTTGGCCGTTCTGCATGTAGCGGTCTAGGGGCCTCGCAGACCCAGTAGCTACCGGTGTGTTGATCTCCGAAGTCTCCACAGGCGAGACTGAGCTCTCAGCAGAAGCTTGTCGCAACCCACGCTGAGACCCTAGGAAAGACCGGGTGAAGATGTTGAACATTTGCAAATCGAGCAGAGCCCAAGCACTGAAAAATCGAGTCGGATACAACAGGATACTTGGCGAGTTAGGCTGAGGGGTAATTATGCGCCTTTCATGCATCTTGCATGAAGCGTATCTTTCAGTTTTCCGCGCACGCCACAGATGTGAGCAGCCTCACGGCCGTTGAGTAGTTGCTGCTGCTGCTCATGCTTACAACCAGCAAGAAGCCCGTCCTCGTAGGTGTTCGGCAGTGGAGTCGATTGGCTATACAAGCTAGTGCTGCCTCTGGGAGTAGTAGTCGATCGCTCTCCACAGTAGCGACGCCAACGGCCCACCCAGTAGCACCAGTAGTCTCCTCTCCTGAGGCATTGAGCCTTCTAGAGAAGCTACGGGATCAAGCTGACAATTTTGGCGTTGACTGGGCAGCTGTATACGATCCATGGTAGGCCGGGTCCACTGTAGAGGCTCACACTAGTAGAACTCAGGCCCCACGTGGATGCCGTACAAAGCATGTTGAATACGGTCCATGAGATATCCGGCAGTAGCTGGGTGTCCACCATTTGCCTAGTGGCTGTTGGTTTTCGAGCTCTCACACTCTACTTCAACGTTCGGTACGCCTTGGTCTTCGTACTGTATTCAGCAGTAGTGATAGGTCCATAGAGATATCAAGTAGGCGGCAAGCAGCCATGGTGGAGTTGCTGCCGTTGGCAAGGGAGGTTCGGACAGCTCTCAATGTAGTATTACACCATCATACACGGGGGCATGTCCAAACTGTTAGACTGGGGATAACGACAGATTCGACCGCAAAGTTGAGGAGTATCGACAAGAGCTCAGCAAGCATGGCATTGGACGTAATAGCAGTGGCTATCAGCCATCACGTAGCAATAGTGTCTCAGGGAATCCCTTCCAAGGCATGGGGTTCCTATTCGGTATCCAAACACCATGGATACTCACACTATTCGGGGCTATCAGAGGTATGGCAACCCATCCAGACGTCTTCAGATCGGCCTGCCTCGACTCCAGCTTCCTATGGTGCCCTAGCCTAATGCTAGCAGGTATCATCATCACTGTATATATGTAGTAGGTGGAGAGACCCCTCTCTTCCCTAGATCCATACGGTATCCTACCGTTGGCATCGTCGGTCATGGCGATAGCGGCAGCTAGGGCTCAGATGAAGTTGGTACCAGTAGTGTCGGATCCAGATCGAGTACAGTGGGATACTACTTATTTTAATTACGGGCTTCAGGGTACGCACATCCCGATGCATACTATCCTATCTTCAGTCAGGTGCGGTACTGCTATTCTTGCCCTTCGCGGTGCACCTTCCTGCAGGGTGCTTTGTCTTTGTAATGTGCAATACTGTTATGAACGCTGTAGTGAACATTGTGGTTAAACGCCGCTTGCAAGGCAAGTTGGCTGTGGGCAGGAATCTTAAGTACACGTAGTGTCTGAAGGGAAGCACTGTTTCTGATAGTAGTCCGGTTGAGTTAAGCTTGGTCGTTGTAAAACTGTCTGTTAGAACGTTCCCATGTCCAAAGCTCGGCATGTGAAAGTGACAACAATAGAAGAGGAGCCCAGACTGGCAGGTAGAGGCGGGATATCTCCTGCTAAGGTAGTAGTGTTGGTGTTGATGGAAGCGGCAATACCGGTGTAGATTCGGGAATGCTTTGAAGTATGGGACTCTGATGGTGATGGGAAATTGAATCCTAGCGAGCTTCGTAGTGCGATAAGAAGCCTTGCCTTGGACTATGCAGAAAGGGAGATTGATAGACTATGTTATGGGGAGAAGGTAGGGCTAGCTCAGCCTACTCCATCAGCATTAGAGGACCTTATCAGTTCCCAGTGGAACAAGGTGTGGATTACTATACACTCCTCAACCTAGCATCAGCGAGACCATCCAGGCTCAGTACCGAAGCCGGAGTTGCCGAGCTCAATCAGGTGTGCCATACCAGTACGTCGCCTACCCTAACGAGATTCAGGCTATTCTGACCCTACAGGCGAGTGCTGGTAATGGTAGCGCATCATCATCGTTCAATGCTGTGATATCCCCTCGTCCCGGCTCCTCTCGTGGAGGGCCGCGCTCAGCTACACCAGCTGATACTTACAGCGTCGACATGCTCAAGTTTTGGTTGACAACTATGGGAGATGAGTTCACTGGTGTGGTCGAAAGCCGATGGTCCCCAAGATTGGACCATCATTTTTAGGAGAGGAATTCGATACACTCCTGCGGGAGTGCTCGATCCCAGCTGGTGGAGGCGGCCGATTTCATCCATCACTACTCACTGATAAGCTAACAGAAGTGTATACAAGGTTATATATGGTACCGTAGATTGGCCTAGCCCACGATCCTGTCTACGAGATCCCATACTCATACTCAGGATAACCCAAGTACTGCTATCGAATAAGCTTGCTGAGTGCTCAAGTGCCCCACTATGTACCATGTAGAGTCTAATCCTACGTACAGCCTGATACGTGGCCATGATGGTGTTTTGTTGCCTAGTACATCTAAAGCCGCATAGCTGTTATCTTGTTGAAGCCAGTTGAATGTTGATACCAGTATGTACTCCTCGTTGGCCCCCTATTGTCGTATTACGTTGTGGGTATCGTTTACTCAGCAGTAGCCCGACAACAGCTTTGGTGGAAACCCTACCTGACAAGCAGATGGACATAAATGCCCTGCGGTGTAAGGAGGAGATACGTAGGATGTTTGCACGGTTCGGTAGGGAGAATGAAAGGATAGTGAGGAGTACATTGAAAGAGGTAGTAGCTGATGAGGGAGAGGAATGGTATGTTGTATTATTATAGGTTGGGCAATATGACGATAACACTAAGGCTACTTTGAGAATATTTCATTTGCAGGAGCTCTCAGGGACAGCCTTTAAAGACAGACACCTGAGAGTTGATAAGAGGTAAGGAAGGCAGCGTACGTTTGTCTCAGCGGTTTTAGGTACTTGGACCTGCGTAAAGGGGTTCTCAAGGGTATACCAGAATATAACCCATCACAACTCACCGCGGTTGCACTAGCAGGGGGCAAGCTGAAGATAAGCTCTCCAGCACTATGGACCCCTCTTGTGAGGAAGGTGGCTACCTACGTCGTAAGGGGATTGTTTCTGGGGGTACTAACGAGTCTTGGAGCTCATTTCAGGAGAGTTCATTCACCAAAGGCAACCCTTATTGTGAATTCAGCCATTCACAGCTTTGCCTTATACTATTCTCAGCAGCCAAAAGTAGATGCCCTCAAGTACCAGAGGATAAAGCACACTAGTAGTATGGTCGCAGTATCAGATGAGCATTTGTTGTTAGTCTGATAAGAGTTATGCTACATCATCCTGGCCTTTGGAATGGTACTGATATGGCATGGCTACTCTACTTCATGCGGAGGAGGAAGCTGATCCCTCGCGATCCCCGCAATGAGGTTGGTTCATCTATCATATTCCAGGGCAAGCTCACTAACTCAGGCCCACCATGCATGGTCAAAGGCGTACCGTTATATCGCTTTCCATTATAATGAGAAGCTGAGCAATGGCAAGATACCACCAAAACAGATGTGTGTGGTACTCCATGAGTTCTCCAAGATTGGCCTCCTACCAACGAGAGCGATACATAGGATGTCCAATAGAGTAAACAAATCGATCCCTCTCTAACACAGAGATGTGCCTCCCAGGTTCGACGAGAAATAACAAGTCTCGATGGGAAGACATTGACACTTCTAGCCACCGCCCTTGGACGATTAAAGCACGCGGATGTTGCCATGTTCAGGGCTATCGGTGAGGCTGGTGCGATTAAGCTCAGTGTGATGGTCTCTCAGGACGGACAGTGGCCTCTCCCGAGGTTTGGCTTACCATAACAGATCGGCAAACAGCTATGTTGGCCTATGCTGTAAGGCATGTAGCTCGTGATGCCGTTACCTCCTCTTTGTTTTCATAGTACTCACGAGTTAACATACGCAACATTCCCTTCTTGAGATCACTTTGTGATCGTCTCGCCAACATGCCAGAGTCCCATCGGCTGCAGCCCCTAACTGTCATCACTCTAGCGTTCTCTTTAGCTACACTAGGCATCCGGGATAAGAGGGTGAGTGGGAGCCGGCCCTCCATTGCGGTGATGTCTCCACTAGGCCTGGAAAGGGTGTTTGATACCAAAGTTCCGACAGAAGATAAAGTTCCATTCTCCACAGCATCTAGCTGCTATGATCAACAGTATGGCTAAGGTCGGGGTATGGGATGACGAACTGGGGAAGAGGGTAGTGACAGTGCAGGATGCAGTACAATGGACAATGGGCCCTTTAGATAGCGAAGAGGGCAATACAAGTGAGGAGAGCGTTTTCTACAAGGCAGCTCTGCAACATCCTCAATGGATTCATAATGAGGTATTTCAATTCAAAGCCTTTTTAAGGGTACAGAGGCTTCTACTCAGCAAGCACTATCATCAGGAGCTGTTTGTTGCTCTAATGGCGGAGTTCTACCGTAGTGGTAACATAGGCGATGAGCAGCATATAGCCAAGCCACATGTTACGCAGATGTCTCGCGTCATGGTGAGTCTACCTGTTGGGGATACCGTACAATCCTGTTGCTACTTGCAGTTTGGTCTGATTTTGGAACATCCAGATTTCGTCGAGCACGCTACTGAAACACAGCGGTTGCTCATGAACAGGTTTTCTAATAGCAAGATAACGGTGATACTCCTTCCCCTCATAGCCCATCCCACTAGCCTCAGGACCACCGCCCTTTGAGGCAGTACCATCTTGATCTAGCTGTAGCATTGGAGGCTCTGGGCTGTGATGCCGGCTACGCAACCCTTGTAAAGGAAGGCCCCTATTGGTAACAACCGGCTCCTGCTAAGCAGTTATATAACTAGAGCTTAGCTTCGACGCGGTTTTGTCTCATCGAGGGCGTCGCATAGGGATCCAAGTGCTGGGAGATAGTCACATATGTCCAGTGACGGGTTCCTGCTCGGATCGATTCGATGTCTGAGGGAGACACTGTGAGAACGTAATGTTATGACAGCTGATATACAGAACTCCATTCGCTCTTCGTAGTATCTTGGCTTCGATAGAGTGGTCTTCGTGAAGAGGAGGGTATGGGCCGGACTCCTTCCTATTCATCTCAAACGAGATGCGTTGTATGATGTACTCTCAAATGAAGGCGGTTGTGAGGGTCTACACCGAGACAGAGTGATAGAACATGATGCCGATGTTGCCGAGGATGAATATGTGAGCAGTGTGCTTCTTATGCATTTGTGGGAGGTGCTCCTCTTTGTTCAGGCAGCAAATAACCTAAGGCCTTTGCACTCTTCCAAGCGGTTGCGGCGCTTGTCTATGTCACGCGTGCACGATGAACAATCTCAGCAATTCAAATGATGTTTCCGAACACGTTTCTGGTGTAGCCCCGGTTGTGCTAGAGTTGTATTGGCTGAGAAAAGGGGTAAAAATTTGGCTAGCAAGCACGACCTGGCCTCGCATCTGGAGTAATCGCGACCGGGACTCTCGTGGAGAGGAAAAGAAATTGTATGAGCTCTCACATGCAACTGTCAAGGTCATGGCCGTGCGAATCCCACATCCTTCACTAAATTCGGTGTGGTACACCATACGTACCAGACACGCTGTAGTGTGAATAAGAGATATTGCGAATTGTGCTCTGCGAATATCTAAACGATCCTCTATACAATCTGACTAACACAAGGCTATAACTGATGAAGCGTATGCGGCAAATGCCCTGTGTGAAAGGAATATCCGCTGTTTCAAATGCCCAACTGGAATGATATGAGCAGATGATAGATAGGAGGTGAGAGCAGTAGAGGGTATACTCTACATAACTGATCTGCGGTATAAGGGTAATAGTCTAGTCGAAGGAAGCCTTCAACAGTATGACTGGAGCTTAATTGGGGAGCTCGACGAGGCAATCTTCATCGAAACCGTGGAAGTTCCGACTTTCGAGCTCTCTATCAATAGTAGAATTGAACCCTCTTGGCCCGGACCAAACGATATACATGGACTTGGAACCATCACCCTTGGGTAGGGACTCATCTGAAACAGAAGATGGATGAGGCACAGATAGAACACGAGTGTTCCCCTACCATCCAAGCATTGCTTCAAAGCAGTAGGGCAACCAGTCGGCTGGGTGATGCACGTCTGTATCTTCACATTGGCTGGAATCTCGGATCCAGGAAACTCAATAATGTCCTTCTCATCTCGGAAGAAACCCATGACCAACACTTTGTCGATTTTTTCAACAGCCTTGGAAGAAAGGACCTAAAAGCTCTACAGTTGTTTCTTTCCTCAGCATGATGAAGGAGCTCACTTGATGCATTGGAGTGATGCCGGAGCCGGCACCAACCATGACTAGCTTCTTCAGTTTCCCTTCTCCTGTCAGTTTAGACAGATTAAACGTCATTTTGGGGTTAACTCTGTGAACCAGCTGGTCACCAATCTTCAAGCTATGATAGTGCTTTGACATGATGCCATGCACTGGGTAGTTCTTGACGAGAATCTCAACTCTGTTTCCCGGAAGTAGACGGGTGGGGGTATAGTCTCGCACACACGATGAGATACCATCAACGACGATCTTGCTTGATACATGCACCTGAAAGACAGCATAGTCTGGGGCACCACTTGATAGCATTCCTACGATGCCGTCCCCGCGGAGCATCTCTTCTCGGCGAATACCCTTCGGGACATCGAAGACGAAAGCATCAACGTCCTTGGCGACGTTCCTTCGATCAGCGAGGGTCCATTGAGCCCAGTCAGCCAAGGCCTAGTGCATCACTTAAGACTCGCTAAGGTATGATGTTAGAACCTACCTCGGGAACTTCTACGTATACTCCGTCTCCTTCAACGGCGAAGGCCTTAGCCGAAATTTGCCCCAGTCCACCCTCGAGCATCGAGCCGTCTTTCAAGCTCACAGCATGCCCACCCTTGGCGCACTTCACTGTGAGGGTCTCCAGGTCAACTGGCTGACCACAGAACGTGGAGGGCGAGAAGCACGCAACACAGGGGTTCTGTGAATAACAAAAGTCAAATTGAAGCGGAGAATATCTCTATCACCTGTATAGCGTAGTACTCACCATCTCGGACGTGAAAAACAACGAAGGGTTCAGCTAGTATGGATACTTGAACGGACTCACCAACTGGTATAGAGTCCGCAACACGAATGGTACGACGATCGCTGGAGAGGCACATACTGGCAGAAAGAGCGAATAAATTCGAAATAGAACGACTGCGAAGAGAAAGTTGATGGCACATACTCAGCAGAGCTGATTCCGTGAGGAGTCCGCGATTTAGGTATATACCCCGCCAGACAGCGTGCCTACACTGGAATACACCCCCAGGTGACAATCTTGTGTGCTATAAGATATATATCGATAATGTCACAAAGCGTGTCCCGAGGGATCTGTCCCAAATTGGGAGATGCAGGAAAGCATCAGTAGATCTTATACAGCAACTCCTTACCACACCGTACTATTCGAGTAACACACCCGGGATGACGGCACTACCCATTTCATGATGCCTACGAACCGTGAGTGAAGTGAACACCACAGCGACTTGGTATCAGGGGCGGGGTACTCAACACTTTAGATAACGGGTAGACATGACTTGGGAATAATAACGGGTAGACAAGGAAAGGTTGTCTTGCATATAAAAGGAAGATTATCAATCCTCGTTATAATTGTAGGATGTAGGGCCTGCTCGTTTGATGCGTTGATATCGTTTATAAGCACCACTCTTCTCCAACCGTGCTCGCTCCTCGCGCTCTTTCTCCTTCAAGTATCTAACACCACACAAGGTGTCACGACAACGCACAGTTATTCACATGCGGCAGCATGATAAGGTAGATTTTAACAAGGTAACGAGGCAACGGCGCCTTACTGTTGTAGATTATCTCCCTCATATAATCTCTTCTCCAGTAGCTGTTCCCTCTCGGTGTCGTCAACCATATGCCAATCTTCCTCCGATAACTTCAGAGCTCTTCTTGTCAAATACCTGAAGGGACCCGCAACATGAGACTATCGATCATCAGTTCACGGCCTTACTCCCGTTCTTCTGGACCGTACTCCTCCTTTCTGATCCCGAACCGATAAGTCCAACGAGCTCGCCATACCATGTACTCAGCGAGTGACATAGGAGAACGCAGAAAACGGTAGCCGATAGTCTGAGTTCACCGTATTTTCCGTGGTCTTCCAAATCGACGACGCACCCTATGTATATCCGCTGGCTTTGATCCACTGCCGTTCAGTACAACTTCCTCTTCGAAGACACTCTTCTCGATCTTGCTGATGCATAATAACAAGCCTTGTGCCACACCCTCCTGAGTATTCCTACGACTCTACCTCCCTCTCTAGTTGCTCCCTATCAGCATCCTCCATCTTGCGAAGTGCTCTCACACTGCCAGCTGCCTCAACTAGTCGGTCTTTCACACGCTGTTGGAACTGCCTCTGCCTCCTCACCTGAGCCATGCTGATACCACGACTTGAGTAATTCGTATTAACTACCGCATTAGTGACCCTCTTATACTGTAGTGAATCGTTTAAGTACTGTAAAGCAGACATCAGTGCAAGTACTGTCGTAACCACTATCCATACAGGCGTTTGGGGTTTGTACACGGCGTTATAATACTAAAATGCAACAGTGAGGGTGTGCTCTTGGGGAGAGCTCAATGCCCACGTTGTAATAATTGTACACTGCATATTCTGGATAGTCAATATATAGGTCATAAGCCTCTCTAAGCTTGGGGTTGGACAGCACCTCATATCTGAAAAGAGATCAGATAGCAACAAGCATGAGACTAGACTCGATCCCTCACGCTTTGGCAATCTTAATGAACATCATCTGTGCCTCCTCTCTCGTTGCTGCGTCCTGTGCGACACTCTGCTTATCGGGATGATATACTCGTGCTAGCCCGCGATACGCTCGTTTGATATCATGCACCTTGAATACCGAGTACCATCACCACTACACTTGCTGTCATTACTGTAGCCTCCCTAGGGATGCCTAGAATGTCATAGCAGTTGTCTCTACCGCAATACAGCTTAGCCAGGCTGCTCATGGCAGACTCCTCGTCATTACTATCCGATGCATAAGCACCACCGACTGCCGATAAAGATAGCCCGAAGAAAACAAGGACTACGAGTCGGGCTACGATAGTAGTCATAAAAAAACCAAGGAGGACAAATCATAATCAATGCTGTAGTGTGCGAGACTCTACTCGACAACATCAGGCTATAAGAAAACTATTGCATAAAGAGTATTGGAATTATACATAGATCATGCGATTTGGCCACCTTCCCCTTGCCCTTCCTGTTGCTGTTTATGCTGCTCCTGTTCATGCTGCTCCTGTTGCTCCTTGAGCCGACGTCTCTCCAATGCTTTGAGTCTATTAGCCTCCATACGACGCCGCATCTCCTCCGGGCTCAGCTTTATCGGCTTGGGTGGGGAACTAGCATCAACGCTGATCCCACCACCTCCACCGACCTCAGCAGCTTCAGCACTAGGAGCAGGGCCCTTGGATTATAACAGCACTGGATACATAACGAGCCCACCAGGGTACCCACCTCGTCCGTATTGCTGTTGTTGGGGTCTGCAGTCTCATTACCCTCTGCCGATTTACCTTCCACAGGGCCAAACCTGCCCTTCCTTCTGACGTAGTCCAAGCGGAAGTCGTAAATTCGTCGCTGATAACGGGATTGGGTCGCCAGTTATAATCGTATACTGCATGCACGCAGCCCATGCTTACCCGTTTTATCTCAGGATAGAGCTCAGTCTCGCATGTCCTTGCAAAATCAGCTAAGGGCATGTGATAGGGGTACAATCGGCCTGCCCAAGCACCGTAGTTGAGGATGACTGTATCTAGGTCCTGAATACGATGAGATACTACCAATGCAGAAAAGGAGGAGGAGGGTAGAATAAGCACTCAGCATACCCACGGATGAAGAAGCAACCAAGTACCCTGACAGTATCCCCGGTAAAGGTTATAGACTTCTCGAAATCCTGCATCATACACTTCAAGCCGTGCTCGTCGTCCAACAACCTATCAGCTGTCAACTTCGGCCGCCGGTTTACCTTGGACGATACTGACGCTATCCCGCCTGGGCATCTGTTGCTCACCTTCCGCTTGGGTGGTGCGGCAACAGTGGCAGCAGTATCGGTGCTGGGCTCTTGGCCGTCCTCTACTGTGCCTTCAACATCCTCCTCCTCCTCCTGCTGATGCTGCTGGTGGTGACTATCATCATCAGCTTGATCCATCATGTCAACATCCTCAGGCCCTCCTGGGGTACTCATTGGTGGTGAGATGGGCATGCCTCCTTATGAATAATACTACTAGCACACGATGATGATGAAGCCTGGATGACCAGTATTATTGTGAGAGCGGTATGAAGCTGGTTCATGCTGCAGTAGACAAAAGGTGACGATGAGCAATAGTGGCAAATGCTGGGACTACCAGCTAAGATTTCTGCAGTTGAAATAACTATAAATTATCTACCGTACTGGCTGTTTCAATTAGGAAATTAACCTGACCCAGTGAGGGCGGCCATGGATCATTACTCACATGATCGGATGAGGAGATCCTCTTTTTGCATTAGTTCGAGTCGTCTTGGGCATCCCCTCTTCCTCCTTCTACCCTTCCGGCCCTACCAACTGGAGGTCGGGTATAAAGAGAGTACTGTGCAGTGACTGCACTGCAGTTTATGCAGGTTGCCGTAGTCTGTAGTCCTCAAAGGGCTCATCTCTCGAAAAAGGGTGTTTGTACGCTCTATTCTAGTCTGATCATCTCCATACATTCTAACAATTACTAAACATTATAGAGTATTACGAAGAAGGGAAACCAATGAGTAGTATCCCCTAAAACATCAACGCAATGACGACGATAGTTTATCATGAACAACAGTATATATGGTGATAGGAAAAGCTACACCGAAATGATGATAGTTAAAATCAATTGTGCACGAGAGCTTTGTGGCGAACCTCAACGGGCTCTTCGAGTCTTCAAACAGCCTGATGCTGTAGCATCAGAATCTACCCATGGCCTTATCAGCTGCATTCGCCTTCTTCCTCTTGCCCCCCTTGCTACCACCACCACCTCCTGCCACAGGCCCTCCCTTCTTTACCAAAAGCTTCAGGCCACACTTGCTACAAGTGTCGCTCTGGGGCTCATTATGTTGCTCACAATGAGGGCATGCCCAACCGGGTAGCCTTGGCTCATGGGACTGCTGCTTGGGACCATCCTTGGTGGGTCGGACCAGCAATGGGTACCTACTACCCATCGTGCAATAGAAGAAACAACCTTGCTAGTTCTACCTCCTCTCGAGGCCCTTCATCCTCTCTATGTCCTTCCTTGCCTTCCCACCAGCCGTCCACTGCGATGACCTACCAGCGAGGATACATGACCACCAACGAAAGGAAGCTTTCTACTTAGGTTTGGGCTGTATCTTTGGGAGCTCAGGGAATGCCTCAGGGTCCACCAACCGAGCAGGGTTCCGAGTAGCCCATAGACCTTGCTGTCTAGTGTTGGAGGACGATGAGCTACTTGAGGGAGCATGGATACCAGACTAAGAATAGGGTCCATCACTGGGCCGGAAGGCAGACTAGCTGTGCCTACCAATGTTGGGTATTCTCCTCCTTTCCGAGTGTGTTGTACGTTTCTGGTGCCAGGCAGTAGAGGGAACTCCTGATAGGAGTATCGGTCATCCACCCCTCTCTCAATACCTCTACTCTGTAGTCTACCTGCCGCTAAATGGACGTACCTACCAGTGTCAATGATGCTACAACAACAACAACAACAACGACGCTTACGTTGACATGTAGCAAAGTTCCAGCATGTTGAATCGTTCGTGGAAGACTCGCCGAGCCTGTTGTACAAACTCATCCCAGCCCTTCTGTAGCTTCTCCTCTGCCTCTCGGCGCCGGCTAGGATACTCATATTCCTCTTCTAGCTCCTCATCACCACTCGTTGGCACAGTTGGTCGAGGCGTGAGTAAACGGAAGGCTAGAGGACGCAGTCCGATAACCTGTGGTCACTAATGGTAATACCCTAGAGGCTACCACTGGCCTCGCTACCATCTCAGCATTGGCCCAGGACAGGTCCTTCCTAGACCCCACAACAGCTAGCAGCTGATTCCTCATCTCGGCTAGAGTATCCGTCTGTATACCATCGATCTGCTGCACACTCTCCACCAATTTCCTATACGCAGGAGTACAGCACAGTAGCCTTCCACATGAAATAGAGCCTACGCGTATTGCTTGGGAGGTATAGCCTCATCCACCTCGCCAATATCAGTATTTAATACTGCCATCAGGGCTTTGATGAAGCTAGGTCGTTTATGGGGGCCAGTAAGCAGACCATCAGGGATGGGAACTGCAGTGTCGGGTAACTGTAATAGTTCATGTGATCAGGTAGGTTAAGATATAAGCAAAGCTCACTTGAACCACCTTAGGGGCCTGAGAGGACCCTCTACTAGTGATGCTGGCCGTACTACGAGGCTCAGAAGATACACTCCTGGCCTGACGTCTCTCCTCCAGTCTAGCGGATTCTAGTACAGCATCACCGGCGTACTCCTGCATATGCTCAACCTGATAGAGCCACGGTGGTGCTATACCAAGCACAGCTACCGATCCCTACCAGCCTCTCTCTGAGGGCCTTGATCGGTAATAGTAGCACCATTGCTGCGAACAACTGTGCCCCTCTCTGCATACCACCCTCAGCTTGACTGAATACCTGAAACCAACGAGGTGGAGTTGTTGTGGTGGTGGTGGGAGCGATCGATGGATACCTCAGCAGCTGTCTCCACGAAATAGTCCAAGGCCTCATCAGTCCGTTCATTCCGCATCTCCATCGCTGCATCCTTAAGATCGCGTAAGTTGGTATCACCTGATCAGCACTCTGTAGATGTTTCCTACTATCATTGACCTACCAAGAGCTTCCCTGCATACCTTCATCAACTCTGTATTCTTATTCTTGAAGAGAACACCACCAACACGTCCCAACCCCTCTGGGTCTATATCCACTATCCGTGCCGCCTGTCGAGAACCACTATGATGCAGTCATCCACGCATACCCATCACCTCAATAGTCAGAACCCTTTTCCCTCGTTCCATGAGGTCATCCTCCTCCTCCTCATCAGATCTCGGAGCTGCTACTGCTACCTCTTCCTCCCTCTGACAGATGAATGCCCACTATAAGGCGTTACCTCCCTACATCAGAGGTAATGGCATGAGGAGAGGATGTATCAGCCTCGATAATAGAGGCAGTCCGAGGCTTGGGTGAGTAGGGCTCAGGGATATCCCCATGCCACTTGGGATCATACCTTATCATCACAACAACAGTGATAGTGGTATACCTCGTGGTAGGATCAGCACCATTACCTATGACCATCCCTCCTAGGGGGATACCGGGTCTTGATCCTGTTAGGGTCAGATGCCTCATTCTGATCGTCTTCTTCATCAGAAGTAACAGCATTAAGAGCAGCATACTCCTGACCCAAGGCAGTGCGCTCGTCAGGACCATTATAGAACTCTCTTGGAGCCTTGCAGAATTTAACCTGACCAACCACAGGTATATCAGTAACGGGGAGTAATAGTAGCAGTACCTTGTAGTTTTCAGTGGTTTCAGGGTTCGAGTTGTCATCTCGCTGACCAGGCTTACGCGATCTTCCACCACTGGTACCAAAGTCTAACCGTAAATTGGCCCTCTTCTCAGCACGAGACATCACTGAGAAGGAGCATAGCGAGCGTTGGTATAGCAAAGGGTAGTTGTACCCCCAAAGTTGGTATGCTCTGTCACCTCGTGTATCTTGAGGTCATCGTCAGTTTTGAAGACTACAAACCGCTTGGCCAGACATTCGTTGTGCTCACAGGGGTAATGGGCAGCAGAGAAGTGAGCATATCTGGTGTAGTAGTACAGAGAGCAATGCGTTGGTAGTATTACAAGGCAAAGTAATCCTTATAATACTCATTACGCCATCCCATGCTCTCACAGAGATGACACGTGAAATGGTTCTTCCTCATATGGGTCGTAAGCTGATCAGCCGAGTAGAAACGGTGATCATTTCTTCCAGAGGGGTTGCAGAAGTCACAAGAAGGATGACTGTCCACAGGCGGCCTTAGATCAGGATCTCCACGACGACAGTGGCGGTCGATATCAGCCCCATGGTTCATCCTATCACCATACACTACTAAGGCTTAGTGCAAGCAGTTGATCCTACGTAGTATACAGGTATTGCTCTAAGATGAAGACCTCTCTCTCATTGAGGCATATCGTACAAAAGTCTCGGGAATGTTGCTTCCGAAGGTGTGTACGAAGATCTCCTAGAGTACGGAAGGCCTGAGAGACCTCATCATCAGCACACACTCTCCCTCAGGCACCACTACACTAGTACCCATTTATCCTCCCTCTCAGCCTCGGTCGATCCATCACCATCCCAGCTGGTGCAGAAACCACAGCGGTATCTAAACCGTAGGTATCCTAGAGCTTCACTGTTCACGCCACACTCACTGTCTTATCATCTGGCATATTTTCCGGATCCTCTTATCACCGTAATAGATGTCGGATTGGTCCTTATCTTTCATGAGTGGCCTTTTCTTGGAGGCAATGAGGGTATCCAATGATATAGTGGGATCGTATTGATCCCGATGTACCAACACTAAGGTATCGAGATCCTCTTTGCACATAGGGCAAGAGTGGTCATTCATCAACCATCGCAGACGTAATGCACATAACCAGCATATATCGTGATGACCACAATGACCAACGGCTACATACACCTGAATGCCAATGAACGCCTATGAACGGAACAGAGTGTACTACCAATTTCTCCATGCACAATGAGCATTCCTCATCAATCTTATCGGTAGTATTGGCCTTGATAGGTTCATTAAGCACTAAGCTACTAGCGAAGGATAGTGGTGGGGGCAGGTCAATCTAATAGGATCAGCTGCTCCTGCAGCGGTACTACTAAGCCTACTTTATGCCGTGCCCCACCCTTCTTCCTACTAGATTCTCCTCTGTCGTAATCCGGATCGTATCGACTGCTATCGTCTCGGCCCTTGCCCTTCCCTTTCCCACCATAACGTCCCTTCCCATGGTAGGCCCGACGACCCTGATGATGATCCTCCCCCTGCTGTGCTCTATGAGAATACCCTTTGCCATGATAGGCCCGTCGACTAGGTGGGGCCTCATATTCGCCATCGATCGGGGCCGATTGTTCCTGATCCCCCCACATCCCCTTCATCATGACGGCGGTCATGGCCCTTCCCACGCCCCTTGCCGCCGCCTTTACCATGATATGCTCTGACTCTGGTAGGCTCGCTAGAATACATGTTGGGTGAAGACAGTTACAATAAAGTGTGAGTTACAATAAATTAATGCGAACTGCGATGAACACTACAACTAGACCTCATTCTGAACACTATGTCAACACCAAACACCATCGAGCCCACAGAGACGTTGATAACTCTATCACCATCACTACCCCCGCAGAATTACCCCGGCCCTTCCCGTGGATGGTACGAATCACTATACCAGAGGACTGCACTGAATCATCCCCTCATAGCCTTCAACAGAGGAGGTGGCAGGTCTAGGTTGCGAGGATCCTTCATAATACACTCCCGACAGTATCTGAGATTGACTATCACACATCAGTATTGGAGTGGAGGCTACCTTTTCTTGTAGAATACACTGCATCTATTATCAGTACATACCTTCCTACCGCAACTTGAGCATTCCCCACCGAGGACTATCACCGGGGAGTCCGTGCCTGAGAGGGAACTAAAGGGACGTGGGGGCGCTATGTGGCGAATGGCTTACTCCCACTGAATGGAGACTGCAACGAGTAGACTTCCTCTAGGAATACCAAGTCACCCGAGTCCACATAAGGCGGTGACTGGCCAAAGTAGTCGTAACGGCACTTGAATCCACACAGACAGCATAAGAAGGTGCCATGGGACGATCGATGAGGGGCCATATTAACGGCCACTATCACGATAGTAACCAGCACCATCCACCACCACTCTCTCAGGGGCTTAGCTCTTACCTACTGTCTTCGGGTAGATGCGCATCATTCACAACCTCAACGACCTTTGTCCAAACTCTATTTTACATCTCTGAGAGCATCTTATCATCGCTTGCTCAACACGTAATAAATAAGTTCTGCACCCAGGGCGAGCGCTTTTTACGGAACATTATTAGTAGAGTACTACTATCAGCAGCATTCTCTACCTGACATATGGACTGGACACCCGTTAACTGGCCTGCCTCTCCTGGGGTGGTGACCAGTCCAACTGATGGAGGAGAGTAGGGATATCCACATAGGCCTTACTTGGTTTTATTGAAGTTATTAGGTGGCCATCCATCACAGAGAGCAGCAAGTCCAATGCCTCTGCATACAGTGTTGCCGTATGCGAGAGGAGTTTGGTAGGGGTTAGCAGTGGTTAGGTCCCTAAGCCTTGGGTACAGGTACTCCGAAGTGAGGACTCTCCAAAGGAGGCATTGGTGGTTGATAGTCGTAAGGTTGGGTCGATACACGTTGAAGGGATTGGTCATCATAAGGACATGGTATTGGACGAGCTACAGGCCACTGCAATATTGGGTAGCAGTAGGAAAGGGTCTAGGTACAACATGGAAGGCTCAGGTACAGTGGTATGCCCTAATGGGGATAGCGGTAATAGGAGTGTGGTCTCTCGTTCATACCTCGTACTGTGTACTGATGCTGCTCCTGTTGCCCTTCTCCCTGGTGGCCATACAATAATGGAAGTACGGTGTGCTAGGTGTATACCCTATAGGGTAGGCTTATGGCGTTAATGAATGTATCATAGTGATCGCCTTTAGGCAAAGGCTGTTGCCAACTATCAGTCCACGAGTGCTGTTGGTCCAATCGGGCAGCCGGTAGCACCAGGAGTGTCTCGGGAAGCCGATGAAAGCATCCTCCCGGATGTCATCGCTAAACGCGTTGAACGGTAGTGCGAGGAGTATTACCGGGGGTGAATCAGTGGGCTCTACTGTAGGCTAATTGCTGGTGGTGGTTTTTATTACTGTCGTACATACGACATAACTCATGGTCAACAGTGGCATGCTGAGCACAATAATGAGGGTAGGGTTCTAGTAGTGGATATGTGTCCGAGGTGTGGTATGTAGGTATATGGGATACAGTAGATCCGCTCTATTGTTGGAATAGAGCGATGATTGTGAACATGCTTGGGGCCACTCATTTGGGAAGACCCGATCAATGGTGCACTCCGTTGATGCAGGTAGAACGGTGGTGTCTATCTAGGGCGTATCGTTCCATGTATAGGGCTCTGTGTGTGGACCCGCTACAGTCGGTAAAGGGTATCGAGTTATGTTGATAGGCAGAAGAAGCTGTGCTAGGCCTGGGACTAGGTACTGTACTGAATGAAGAGATCGCTTTGGAGTGGTAGTGATAGGTATCATCATAGAGGTATTGATGACGAGGGCCATGTTGCTAACTATGTCGAGACAGAGATGTTAGTATTACGGGAGGATAAAGAGATTGTAGCGGCCCATACCCAGATTAGGGGGTCAATACCTGCATTCTGGCAGCAAGAAGGAAGTAATGAGCCACTCCATATGGTTGGGGTAATTCTACTGTGTAGGTACTATGAAACTGGACATCACTAGGAATGCTAGACTTAGTGCATCTGCATACGATAAGCATATACAGTGCATACTAGATCGGTATGGTCCACGTGGATGCCTCTTCGTAAACCTACTATCGGCCGGAAAGGGTAGTAGGGAGTTAGTTGGTATGGGGTGATGCTGTAGTGACCCTCGCAATGCCAGGACAGGAACAAAGGCTTACCGATGCCCTCAAGGACATCATGGAAGGGTCACACTTTGCAGAGGATGGAGTATTCAGTATCATAGACTTTGACTTCCACAAGATGGTTAAGGAACGAGGTGAGCTTCTCTGTAGAGTGCTGTACTGTTGTTATTCGTCATCAGATGTTGATTCTGTATTGGATACGATCGTATCATCTGGAGCGGCTAAGGCCCTTGAGTAGGCCTAGTGGTATCATGAGTGGTTAACCATTGCATGCAGGTTCCAATGGTGGCAGCCTAGTGCTCGAATGAAGCAAGTTGGGGTCATCAGGACCAACTGTTTAGATTGTCTAGACCGAACAAATGCTGGTAGTGCTCATACCAGGGCTGTGCTGCTTCTTATGCTTGCAACAGGTCAACTCGCGTTCTCATGTTTTATCTTACGTAAAATTTTAACGGGGTTCGGTGTGAGATGTGATGATAGTAATGATCCGAAGAAGGTCCTTACTACCCTATGGGCTGAACATGGGGATCAGATCGCTGTAAGGAGGAGCTCTGTTACCTGTTGAATACTCCATGCTAGATGCATTATACTGGCACTGGCTCGGTCCTCACTGAGCTGGTTACGACAGGTCAGAACTCCTGGCAGAACTCGATACAGCAGATGCTCAGAAGCGCCAACCGGTAAGATCCTTTTCTCGTCTCATCCCTACATGTTGTCCTTTAGGTATGTGAAGAACAACTTTGGAGAGGACCGCGATAGGCAATCGGCAATAGATGCCTCTCTAGCCCTAAACCTTCGAGAGCCTATCAAGAATAACGTTGAGCCTGGGAAAACACACTCATCGCCAGCATCAAAAGGGGTCCAGTCGGAAAAGGAAGCTGGTGGTAATCAGGCCGAGAGGACATCATGGAACTATCTGTTTATGGTACTTATGAAGGTATGCTCGACACAAGTGATAACGTAGAAGAGGATAGTTCAGAGCTCTCTAGCGCTGGAACAGCAGATACAGCAGAGAGTAGTTTATCGTCGGCCTCTATCGTTGTTGTTGTCGTGAAGTAATGGTTTTAGGTCCTAGGTTATCTATATGGGTGGGTACATGGAATATAAATGCTAGTAGGGCATGGAATGCAGAGGACCTGAGTAGCTGGTTCAGACTATCATATCACCATCCTAGTCCTGGTAGTGGTGATCATGATGATGATAAAGATTCCCACCTCAGAGATGTAGCACTATGCTGTTTGGGGGAAGCCATGGTATTAATCATTGTATCAGATATACGTTATTGGTATGCAGGAGTTTGTTGATTTGGATGCGACCGCTATAATAAAGAGAGGCTTTAAGATGGTGAGGTTAAGATGGGATAATAATCGTCGGTTGGAGTGGTAGAAGTAGATGACCAGCAAGTTCGAGGGTGAGACAGAGCATGAAGTTAGGAGGGCTCAGTTCAATCGTGCCTTATGCAACATCTTTGATAACTATCAGAAGAGGCAGGGTATACCTAGACAAGATAGAGTGCACTATACGGAAGTAGGCCCATGCACTCTTCTGCTGCCCCATCCCCCCATCGTAGGGAATATTATCATCAGGTGCAGTGTATAACGATGGTAGGACTGTACATATCAGTATGGGTTAAGGAGTCTCTAGCTAGGGAGATATCTCATGTCCATACTAAGAAGATTAAAGGAGGTATGGAGCACTCCCTCTGCTGCTCATATGTTGGTTATCAGGCTTAGGTGGTGCTCATGGAAATAAGGGCGGGGTACTACTGAGCATGAAACTTCATAACACTCTCATATCGATGTGTAGTGTACATCTAGAGGCTGGTGAAAAGTAATACATAATTCATCCACATGTAGAACAATGTCAAGTCAGGTTGATGGATATACGAAATGATCAACTGCATATGATAACGAGTGAATACCGCCAACAGATAAGGGAACAGTACGCAATAATGGGGAGTATTAAACGGCGAGTCCTCTTCCTATTGGGGGACTTCAATTTCCGTCTCAACTGTGATAGAGATACAGCAGTGGATTTGCTTGACAAAGGGGACTTCGGTATGCCAGAAGTTACTCTTATTGTGGTACCGTTTTGGTATGTCAGAGAGGCTAGCACAAAACGACCAATATTATCAAGGGGAGTGTACAGACAGTACTCTAATCGAGTGCAATGAGGGGAAGATATCTGACTTCATGCCCACCTACAAGTGCTGAGATATTCCCACTACTATCATGTGGAGAAAAGCCCTTGCTTAGGTTTGAACCCGAGACTATGCAGCTTGCCGTCAACAGATGCCCGAGTTGGTGTGATAGAATATTCTTCCAGTGTACACCACATAAGGCTCTCATTATTGATACATATCAGTCTCATCACAAGTCAGCAGGGGGGGGGCACAAGTCTCTGCTATCCCTTGTATCAGGTATATCTCGTCGGATCACAAGCCGGTCAGTGCCACATTCGAATTGGCTGTTGACCTTCCCACTATCCGTTCGCCAGTGAGAGTTAAACGACGACCAGCGAGGAGGTCTGCTCCAGAGGCACCGACACAGCAAGCCAGCAGGGCGTCGAACGCAAGCTCAGTGCCTGAGGTGGACTTGCTATCTTGGGTATCTGAGCCTGAGATAAAGTCTAGAGTTATTAACACTACCACAACTCCTGCTGTTCCTAGTAGCAATCTTACGGATGACTACTTTGGGCCATTCGAGAGTGCAACCCCTTCTTCATCTGAGGTGGGGTGGAAACCGAATAGATTGGTGGAGGATGATTATGTTGTGGTCGACGATAACTTCTATGCTTGTACCAGCAGTAACGAGGGTACTGTCCATGATACACGAGAGGAAGAACAGAGGTCTCCTCCATCACAGAGTCACTCTACAGTACAGGAGCCTCCAGACTTACTACTTTAAAGGGAACAAAAACCCTTGTACAATAGCAAACACGATACAGTTTCATATGGATATGGTATTGTGCAATCGTACATTTGACATTTTCAACATTTGCTTTCCGAGAATTGAAGTGCCTTGTGTTTCACGTTCGATGATCGGTCTATCTGGGTTTGTTCCCGATATTCTTTGAGATTACTCAAATCTTAAGATGGGTATCTGTGTGCTGTGGGAGAGACAGTATCTCAGTAGTCGTGCTCACTATCATAGTGCCAACATGTCTATGACTAGTGTATCGAACTAGAGGCGATGTGATAACTTATGAAGGTCATTGTAGAACAGTAGCTTATCAACTTCGAACCCAACCAAATCGATAACGATCATAGATTCCTAATCGACACGCACACAAGTTCATCGATCGAATATAACTATGACTAACACGACCGTGTGAATGCTGGAAAAACTTGCGAAAAATGTGGTAGATTGGTGGTTATCAAGGTGTAAATGATTTGCCTCGAGCTCGTATTGAGTTCATCGCGGTCACAGCCGCCACTACCATCGTACACCCTCCCCCAACACTTTCTTGGGTCGGTAGTAGTCAATGTAGTTGTCTGCCCATTCTGCGATAGCGTGACGTCTCAACTGGTTATCAAGCTTCTAGTAGAAGGTGAAGAGATCAAGGACGTCAGTGATGTGATAATGGAAAAGACTTTTGGTCAAAAGTTGCCAGAAAGAAGGGAAAAGGATGGGGTTGTTCAAAAACTACATTATACATTATTCTCCCTCGACCGTACTGTCTTCAACCCAATACAGGCACAGTAACCCCCAAGAAAAATCACTTGAAGTAATTATTCAAGTAAATAAGCAGTGTGATTGTGGAATCGCGAGTTGTATATCGAGAACTCCATGCCTGTTCTCGAAGATACGGTTAGGGCTGGTATCGCTCATCGTTGGTGTGGCTTATTCAGACCTGTTATCCTTGTTAGTCATGAGGCGTTTGACGAATCTGAGTGATAGCAATGATCGTGACTGAATAAGCTTTGTTATAATTACTGTGGATAGTTAAGGAAGACCAGGATGGAGGGTACTATAATAACCGCTATGATGAAGTTCTTGGCGAGAGCTTGCATCCAATTACCTCTTACTCTATGACGCTGTATCTTACTTGACTTAGAGAGACTGCCCACGATCTCAGGATGGTAGTATCGTGCCTGATAGATGGTGTTTATTGAGCAATCCATTACAGCAGAGCAGCTTACATGTACGGCTATTCCGTGCAGTACAACAGCTGACCTCGCTGCAGCTTTGACGACTTGCTTGGTTGCTAAATCGCGCCACTTGGCATACACATCATCATCGATTTGGTACCTACATTGTCATACAAAACCAACCGTCGTTGCCAAATGATACATTCTAGGGACTTCACGTCCTCTACCGCCAGCTATGACGGAGTATATATCACTACACGACATCTCCATTGACTCCGCTATCCACTCGGCTATACCTATAAGCCCTTTAGATAGTAATGGTAGAGTGAACGAATACTACTACCCTTGCTGTAGATTTTGTTCACTAGTTGGATGCCGTATCCACCATCCTGGACCAGCTTATCGAGCTCGGCGTTATATGCTTTTAATACGAGCTGCGTCTCGAGATTAGCAGCCGAGGAAATCTAGCATGGAGATCGCATGAGACCCTCCCCCTTGGGTATCTACTACATCACGTTCCCAGAAGTCATACAAGTTAGTGCTAGGGTCATCATGGTATTGGACGCTTATCCTTCGCCCGTGGTCATCAGCTCCAAACCCTGTATGGAGAGGTTGATGCAAATCCTGTACTAAGCCTAAAGGGGAATAGGACATAATCATGAGGAGCAGTCTCCCGGCCAACAGTACCTAGCAGCCAGCTTATCTGTACAGGCTCTGTCATATCTTTCGCAATGCCATGATCTTCACCTGACTTACTCGCGTGTGTTACTCGGCCGAATATATCGTGAATCTGGTAAAGCAGTAAAAGAGTACTCTAGTTCCAGTACTGTCATTACCGAGCGGTAAAGGCCTTGGGATTCAGCATACTTATCCGGGTTATTAACATCGAAAGTGCATTGCCAATCTCTACAACGATAAAACGGTAATAGCCGCATCAAACAGGAGTGATAGTATTATTACCTCAGTTGGGTCTCATAGTGATTCTCAACAGTCCTATCATAGTTAGCATATTGGAGTTTATCATGAGCATATCGTGACATGTAGGGAATTGACTGACCCTTGAGGAGCTTGTTGAGATCCTCTCTGAAAACAATACTAATGTCTACCAACATGTGTATCAGCTACTCACATATCCCTATAACTGAGTACCCGTGATACAGCCTCACCAATACGCTCATGTATATCCTTATCCCAAGCATAAGCACTATGGGGTACTAGTGTGATAATAATACACCACAGGCAAATGCCGAGCATCGTGGCTCTACTAGATGAAGGAAACATGGAAGTAACTTCAAGAATAAAACTACCATATACAGGGGTCATTACTGCATAACACTACGTAAGTGCCAGTGAGGAACGTTATAATACGCTGAGGATCAGCTCGCTGATGACGAGGCGCTCTCAGCTGCTATGGCAAGAGATTCGTCAACTACTGCCCTACATATTGGGCAATGCCCTCTTATTTTTAACCAGTGCATTATACAATCCCAGTGGAAGACATGACCACATACAGGCAGTTCGAGGCACCTGATGGCTACCTACTATTCATACATAGCGTACACTACTACCTATCATTTCTCCCTATCCGTTGGACACAAATACTGCACTCAGTTGAGCCACTGTCCAACGTGGTAGCGTCTAATGCATTGAGGACTCTAGGGTCCACAGGATGGCTTGCAATTATTGCTCTAGTATCTCCGGCACTCGACGTGAATGAGGATGTACTCGAGCTCTGATCTATGCATACTCGGGCGTGTGTGGGAACATGACCGACTAAGGCAGTAGTGATGATCACGACATCACGTCAGCGGAAGGGTGCTACCTGGGAAATATCTTTGATGAGCTTCTGACCACTCTAGACCAGGTAGATCCCCACATGGCGGTCGATGATGATGAGATGTATTCTCTCTAGCCATAATGCTAGAGATACTATAACAATAGAATGCTGCATGACATTCCCTATGACCCGGTACCCTGTCGGAGTACACAACACGCGCCCTCGCGGGTCACTAAGGGGTTGCCGACATTTCCAACCAAATATACGCCACACTTTATCTTGTATATCAGAAGGACAAAAACCTCTCCTCACAAAATGTATAGATAACTCAATGGGAGACCAATATCTACTAACATAATCTGGAAACCTCCCTCTCGCCGGCAATTAAATTGTACAGAGATATTCTATTTTCCCCATCCTGACAATTATATCAAAAACAATGAACGACTCACCCCAAAAATGCTGCATTCCATTCGAGCATTAGGATTATATTATCATTTAAGCTATACACACTAACGACCCATACTCATACACAATCCTAAACATTTTATGGAAAAATTTTTTTAAATACTATCAACAATCGTTTTACTGCTTTCACTACTACTATCGGAAATACTGCTCACCGAAGAGGAAGAAGACGAAGAGGAAGAGGAAGAAGACGAAGAAGAAGAATCACCAACACCTTCCACTGCCACCGTCACGGTGGTACCGTATCATCGTTCCGCGTCACACTCCAACGATAATGAGACTTCTTACCTCGCTGGACTATTGCCTTGGAAACCAATCTCATCTCGTTTATTATGGGATTTCCTCTTGCCGTCCTGAACGAGAAACAGTCAGTTTTTCTGCCGCCCATAGGATCCACAATTCCATAGGATCCACAGAGGATCCATGTGGACTCTAAGAAAATGAACAGATAGAAAGAAGCAAGTGGCTCATCCGAAAACGTGGATGCATTTTCTTACACCTTCCGCACGGATTGTGCCGGTAGGAGCTGAACGAGTGGGAACGGAGACGGTAGGAGCTGGACCGGTAGGAGCCGGGCCAGTGGAGGCTGGGCCACTAGAGATGGTAGCACCTTACAAAATCAAAGTACTAGCGCGTAGCATAGTTATATATCGCGCAAAAGCAAAGAAGAAACACTTCGCACATTCATGACACAAAACAGTTACAGACACGTTGATAGATAACTCACCTGCAGCTCTCACATTCTAAGCATAGTGTAGAGGAATGATCCTCTATTGAATAACCCTGTATTGATGATTACAACACAACTTTATATAATTTTGAACTATATATGATGATACAGATGATACTAGTGTACGGAGGGTTACATCACCTAGTGGATTCAACTTGTGGGAAGTCCGGTCCGTGGATACACATGATGTGTAACACATCCACATGCCTTCGGGAGTGGGATTTGGCCATCACACAGAACCCCACTGCATCGCCCGCTGATGATCCCCGACTGCACCATATGGACGCTCGGGACGACGAACTGGTACATGGCAATGCCATGTACCAGTTCACCGTCACGGCTTCCGTCACGTATGCCATGATGGCATACGTGACGGAAGCCTCCATGGGGGGTGGTAAGCGACCAGCACAGAACGAAGCGCGAATGGGTACCAAGTTGGTACTACCAACCGATCGCTTCTTTACACCAATTCCGTCTTGTCATCGAGGACTCCCACCACTTCGGGTTCCACAACACGCACTGTTTCTCCAGGAAACAAGTCCCCCTCGAATCCTCGGAAGACCATCTCCGACTGCTCAGCAGTTTTTGTGAGAAGCACCATCACCGTATTGGTAGTAGTGCATCCCACCAAAACCCACCGATGATAAGCGCGTTCGGCTGACTGGCCGTTTGTTGTATGTGCCACCCTCCGCATCATACGCCGTCGGATCACTGAACCTTATCAGCTTCTCACCAGGTTGTTTGGTGTGTAGAACAAGGCAGACAATCTCGGTGTCAAGACTTTCGGCACTCCTTCCTTTCAGCGCAGGATTGGATATCAATCGCCTGGGCGAATTGGTTTCACTAAATTTAGTGACACCAAGTATGATCTAGGATACCACACGGGGACCATGTATTGCGCCTTGCTTCAACCTGTTGCTTCGACTTGAAAACTTGCAATACTTTGGTGCACACGTACCACTCGCGACTACACAAAAATGTGGTTCTAGATTCTCCTCTACGATGATTTAGACGTCATTGCCACACTGGTGATAATCTAATAGGCCCACCTCGACCTAAGATGATGCCCTTAGAAACTTTGGTTATCCGCACCGGCCACTCTTCGACATTTATGTGTCAAAAGAGGGCTATCGATTGCGCGCGTGTCACTTCCGGTTTTGTGCTGCGCGATCAGTGCCAGCTAATTACCTTAGCTTGCGATAGTGGCGTTCAGCAGATGATTGACGATGCCCGAGGAATGTTAGGCCATTAGCTCGGCTGGATGAGTAAGTCCGACGCCGGCTGTTGTTGTGGCCACTCGCATTGGGGAATTCCTTATCGGCCGTAATAGGCGGTACTAGGAAGCGATTGCATGGTGGGTTGGAGTGGTTTGATTAACGCTAGGTGGAGACCTCGGAGTATGCAACTGGCATAATGCCAGCTGGCATCCCTCGACACAGTCGTATCATGCATCGCTAGCTTCGCTTTTATCATAGCCGTCATTATAGTTGATTCATCTGAGACTAAGCGAATGCTCTTTAACCTCCGTCACAAATCGTCATCATGCAAGCTCAATAACGAAAGTTCGGTGAAGTCTAAGAGAAGGAATGGCTTTGGAGTAAGCAAGCTTGCTATTGGTCACTTATACTCTCACGGCCTGTATCTATCAGAGTCCCAAGTCGCCTTCGGAGTCGACAGTATCATCCCTGTCCACAGCTACTGATGGCATCCTTCGCCGTTCAGGCGATTCCGTGGATAGTATTAGAATTGACAGAAAAGGTAGTAACTTTATGGAATACTCAGGGCTTTGGCTCAGCAGCGATATCCTAGTATTCTATCATACCGAGAAGTCCACATGCTCGTTATGGTAGGTAATTTCATACATTATGGATCAAAATCGCACTCTATATCCTTCGCTGATGAGGTGGAAGGGGATACTGGACGTTTGGAGAACGTTTTTATTGTGGAAAGTTTCAAGGTAGTAACAGTACTAGGAGAACGTATGGCTCACATGGAAATTGTAGTTGCATATCATCATTATCATGACTCTACTGTCAGGCATATAACTACGAGGATGATGAAGTCCCCGGTGACAGTAGGAGCCGTAGAGGCTGTTTCAGTTTGCGAAGGATCTTCTGAGATCTACTTGTTACCCGATTAACACTCTCAATACTATAAACCCGATACTATCCGTTGTTAGTCCGTTAGTTACCAAAGTAGTTGAAAATAGTAGTACATACCAGAGTAATACGTGTCAACGATGATGGTGATATCACCTTAGTCGTCGTTTGTTTTTTGCTTCCTAGAGCTGTATCGATCCCTTCCTCCCTCCTCTATTCCTCTTGAAATGCTGCATATGGGCTTAGTTGTTTATATTTCTACTCTTGCTATCATTGTGACTATCGCTACGACTTGCCATTGCTGTTCTACACTTGCTGTTTGTAGCCCTGTAGTTGGTATTTGTATTTATCGTGCAGCGATGCTCACTTGTTGCTGGTAAACTGTTAGGAAATGTGATAAATGATGTAGTTGTTGTTGTTAAAGGAGCTTTGTGATTACGAGAGGGCGGCTGGTTATTATGCACTCGAGGCTTCTGGCCGCCGCTCCATAACTAAGCTAATGCAGCGGTGCTAGTGGTTTGTATCATTGTTATTCTATTGGAGGTAGATAGGCTGCCTGAAGTCGGCGTTATCGATAGAGCCAGTAAGACTAGGATGCAGTATGAAGCTCTACTAGGGAGGTTGTTGGTGTGACTACTTCTAATGAGGTATGCCTTATGGGTTTTGTATCGTTACTGTTCCGGACCTTGATCTTCGTCCAGTATGATCAACTGGTAGTATTAGTATACATCATATTCTCAACAAGCGGCTCCACGACAATTAGCTCGTATTGTCGCTATTGAATGCTTAAATGTTTTTGTCCTGTCACTATGTCTTGAGGCGACAAGGGGGTCGGTCACCTGCCGTGTTGCCCTACAGTATATTGATGGATCTGTTGTGGCCTTATCATCTATACCCGTCGTCTTATTGTTACCAATACTGTTACTACTACTACATACACTTCCACTGCGTGCCGCTCCCGACAGAGGCTACCGATCCCGAAGGCCATTCGGTTATCGATACCCACTGTTGTTGAATCTGGATGTGTCATCATTCTTCTTACAAGATACTACATGATTCCGATGATTTCTGTGATTCTGGCCGTTTATTGTTCTTCATATACTGCAATGCATAACGTTAGTCTGAAATATCTCGTCTTGTCGCCGCTACTTTCCCGTCGATTAGTCTCCTATCAACCGGCATGTCTTATACAACTGAGTCGTGTTGGCGTCAATTAAGGGCTCTATAGCCAGTCTCCTATCGAGCATACTGGGAGTCCCGCAGGTCCATTGTGAGTAGCTCGGACGAGCTCTATGGCAGTAGCAAGTGATATGGTCTGGCATATCATCCTGTGGTTGACGACCCCCCTCAGCCATACTCTTGAAGGGTATCCATCTGGGATGGGTCCAGGAAACGAGGTAGAATAGCTCATACGAGGTGATGATAGCAAGATGAATAGTAGTAGCAGGTATCGGGTATGTATGGGGAGTACTCAAGATATAGATCAGTATTCATGCGACCGCCCACTGATGATGATAGATCATACAGTCTTACCATCGCGAATAAGGTATGATCAAGATGCTTGTGGGAGTATCATCATATTTGGACTCGGTTACTGTAGATCAGGTGTGACGTATGTGAAGAAATACTCAAGCACCTTCTGCCCAGTGCGAGGAGCTTGACTGATATCGATGACATACTAGATGTGTTAGAGAGTATCGCTGTCAATGTTCAGCACTGTGATATGCGGCTTCCATATAGGCCATGTAGACGAGGATACAGTGGAGAAAAGTAGCGACCCCCAAGTAAATAGGATCAATCTTAGTAAAATTGGATGCAACAAGCACTTTAAAGACTCTCTTTTGGCAAGGGGTAGGGTAACGGATGGCGGTGTATTCCCCCTGTAGCCATGCCTTCTAGGTTTCCATATCGGGCCTTGTCACGATCATCTCGGCCCGCCCCACACAGATGATAAGAGTAGCGAGACTTGTCTCAAGAGGGGTACTCCTAGGACAGAAGCTCAAATGGAGGTGTAACGTGATCCGCTTCAGCTCCCATTGTTGTTATCACTACTCGATCATCGAGAGCACCCGAACAGATATAATCGAGATTTCGATGCACTATTCTACGCCTGTGAAGCCACTATAGGGCGTTATGGTGATGATATAGCGGAATACTTAGTAGACCATCACTACAACGATCTTGGAGGGTACGATCGAAATGTACATCGAAAATGGGAAGGGCTCAGTTTGGATAGGTCTGGTGAGGACACACAAGCGGTGTGCCGGTATGCAGGGCAGTGCATCATCCATAACAGGAGGCGTCAAAGTAAGAGAGTGGGCCAGCGACTCCTAATCACTGTGGCTAGGTCACAAAAGGGCTACTGCCATGGAGGTGTCAGATGGAGATTTGTGAGTGCATGACACGGGAAGTCCTGTTATCGCTTGTGGTTTCTCCTACACGACTCAGCCGTTTGCGTTATTAGACCTAGACCTAGATGTTTCGATGTAGGCTTCCTGGCCTTGTTGCTTTGATGCAAGCCAACATATCACAATCTTCTAACTCAAAGCAAGAAGCAGTAGGAAGGATCCATGTTACGGACCTCATGCTGCAGCTACAATTACCACCTACAACAACACCATCCCCGGAGTCTACCCAATCGATGGCGTGCAGCAGCCAGCAGATATCCTCATCATTGGAAGACCCATCGATGCAGCCCCATGGTTCTGACTTGACAAGCCCTCAGTCTTCATCAGCAGGAGTGGGAGGGATTGTACCGTTGGTCAGAGGCATTACTAGACGACCAGTGGATGTCAATAAGCTGGAGTCGATACGAAATGATATAATACGTGGAATTCAAATGTGGTCCATCAACAAGATTGAGCTATTCTCCCACTTCCCGGGCAGCTCAGGATCTTATATGTAAGCGGTCTCACAGGTGGGTTATTGGTTGTAATCCATATCTAGGTACAGACGGAGCATTAGCACGGGCAAGGGTATGGATGAATTAACAGACAACGTGACGAGCATAACGAGAGCATGCCCCAATAGTGATAGGTCTGTACGGTGTGATAGCCTACCATCGATGGACTCGAGAGACCGGGTTGTACGGTATAATGAAGGCCTATTAAGGCTGGAGAAAAGCTCCAAGACCGCAGCATTACAGCGTCTGTTACATGTACAGGATCTCCGTTATGAAACTTTCCTTAGCAAGCTAGATGATGATAACACTATTAACTCGATGATATCCCATACTGCCCCTCCTACAGGAGTTGCACATACACTGATGAGGCAGAAACGTCTTCGTGCCTGTCGTACGCGGAATGAGGCGTTCGTATCTCAGAAATCTGCCCGACGATACTGAACATGTCCATCCTGATTACGTGGTGGCAACAGCCTCTGCTATTGCGGTGACCTTCTCCATATTGCTCTTGATAATCTCCGAATAATCCTTCGTTCGTTCCCTCATAACCCAACTAGTAGTGCTGCTCGTTGGTCTCTCTCTGGTCTTGCTAGCATCCTATGTATCAGCAGTAGCTTAATATCGATGAACATCGATTGAACATTGTATACATTTGCTTCACTGTCCCTCTCATCTCCCAGACCGTCACACCTTCAATGGTGCGATAGCTGGGGGGAGCTTTAGAGGCGTAGCATGCCCCGTTTATGATAGTATTAGTAACCAGGTGAAGGAAGACACTCTATATCCCTCGTTATCATGCTAGATGATAGATGTATAAGTGCAGAGTAAACGATCGATGGATGGGTATTTCTGTTGTCAATACTACTTATAAGGTCTATGGCGGTGGTTGAGGTATTGCCATCATTGTGATCCTTCTACATCTTCCACAGTCCCGCTTGTTCATTCATCTCCCTCCTCCCATGGATCATCATCACATAACTCATCGTTGGCTCGACTGTGCCTGTTGAACCCGCAATATGTTCCATAGGCAGGCGGGAGGACTCCAATGCTTCTCACTGTCTCCGTATATCGCTACCTCCGAGGTGGCTATTACGCAAGTATCACAGTGCTTGCATCTATCTATGATCGATTCTAATTCTGAAATCATTCCTAGTTATGGCATTCCACGTCGACTGGGGGGGGGGGGAAACTTAGATGATCACTCAACGGACGGAGACCCTGAAACATAAAATATTCCCGAATGACGTTGGTGAGCTTGAAGGGAATCCTTCAAGATAAGGTGGTCATTAGTTTGATAGAGGCGGGACCTCTCCACATACTCATTAGGCGATCGAGAGAGTGCCGAGGATCTACCTAGATACACCGGCTACCAGACAGTCCAGTTCTGGTTGCTAAAAACGTTGGAAGAATGTCTGCTGCCTGTCAGTTACACTATAAGTAGACCCATCCATAGTTCCGTATGCATTGCTTTTACTATCTCGCAGAGGCTTGTTGTGTTCTCAAGTATAAATCTGTCTCAATCCATCGGTCAATCTATCTTTGTAGTCTTCATGGCGGCCACCGTTGTGAACTCTTCGTCACCATCAGCGGCAGAGAATAGCAGTAAGTGGCAGCAGTTCCTCTCCTCGCAGACGGCTAGTGATACAGGAGGGACCTTGGGCAGGGACCATGCATCGGTCATTATAGCTCTAGTGTTCAATCTGCACAAGGTCATCACCATTTACAGGTCCTCATCGTTGGTGTGCCGGGCTGTGGTAAACGGACACTCTTGAAATCCATTGCCTTCGATATCGAACGCCAACTCGCTCGCAATAGGAACCCTGGCTTCTATCATGGTAACAGATAACAGCTTTAGTGCAGTATAGACTTTCATATGCAGGCAATTCCTCTCGAGGACCATCCAGGCCTCCAATTAGCAGTATAAGCAGGATCTCAACAGGATGTCAGGGAAATGAAGACGTGAAGAACAGAGCAGCGTCGACGAATGGTATCCCGCCATCATTTAATGGGGATTCCTCGTTATCCCTCTAGTTGTATCGGAGAGCGACGAGTCATTACTAGCGGCCTCCATGGCGGCTCAAGCGGCCATTGCAGGGGTTGTACCTCGGATGGCTCCCATAGATTATGGATACTTACCAGCCGTGACGATGGCACAGAAAGACAAGGACAACAACATGACTGTTGAGCTAGGTAAGGCATACCCTCATACTATGTCTGCCCCGTAACGAGGACTCAGGTACGCTGTCTCTAGTATATTGTGAACACTCTGAACATGCTAATCTGATTAGCGAAGGACTACTGCGAAGCTCCATAGCCCATGCCAGATTTGCAGCCGTCATATGTCTTGACATGATGCATCTCGAGAGTGTTATAGGCAACTTCGAATCCCATATTGGGACCATATCACAGTAGTCTCCTGCTTAGCTACTATTCATGAGCTCAGCCGTTCATATGCCGTAACTGGTGTTATAGTTGTGCTCGATCGATCAGGATACATGGTCCAATATTCGACAGTATTGATATGGGTACTCAAGAGCTACTCTATTCGAAGGTCACACAGACGATACTCAAAGCTAAACATGGTGGGTACTCTATGGTTTACCTTCGGCCACACTATCTCACAGGTGCCTCGGGGATCACAGAGGCATCCGAGGATCTGGAATGGCTGAGTAATCGAGGTTTCCCCTTGATAATTGTAGCCGAACCACGAGCCTCTCACCCTGGTACGAGTTTCGATAGGTATTAATGCGCTGCGACGCATTTGGTAAGATTGATCCCATGAAGTGGCGTCCGGTGCTCGTACACCTCAGACATCGTGCTAGCCAGTATGGCGCGACTATAATGTGAGCCTTCCATTTACTGCTGTACGTTGATGGCTCGGTTCTATCAGAGCTACTGATGGATCCGAGTTCTCTAGCTTACGCGAGTGCGATGCGATAACCGCTGGGATAACAGCACGAAATGGACGGATATTGTGAGCAGCCTTCCCATAGTGAGTGAACGCTCATGCCAGTTACGAGCATCTGGTGGCACAAATATACGGGAGGACACTACCAGACAAGCGAGGAGATGATGGAGGGAAGGCACTGCTTTGCTTGTCACCGGGGCAAGACGGCGGACCTGATGCGTTCCGCCATTCACTCAACGTTGAGGATGCCGAGTTCCTGTGTAGCCAAGCCTCTAGCGGCCTCCAGCTGTGATGATCTGTCTTTCAGCTCGTCCTATTGAAACCTTTTTTGATTCGGATTCTGATGAAGAGAGAGTGAGGGAAGAAGAGGTGGATAATCAATCCGTCATACACTTATGTGACCAACAATTCTTAGGCTCAACCAGTTACTACGGTAGACAGCATGAAGGTATTCTTGAGTCGCATGGCAGAGAGGATGCCCGCGCCAATGAATGCACCGTCTTCTCCACAGACAGCGACGACTCCGGTTACTAACAGAAGCTTCTTCCAGGTAGTCATCAGTTGACGCATCACAGTATTGAGATGTTATACATCAGAATCTACTTGTGAAGGAACCCGGCAGTAGTGCCCGAAAAGGTGCTCCCGAGGTTAGATGAATGCATGAGATTTCGAGTAAATTAGATAAAGTTTCTAATAAAATGGAATGTTGTCGAGCTGCGAATGAGAAAGATTATTGTAGGAATCTCGGATGTGCGGTTCGGGCAAAAATCTGCCGGGGCGGACTGTACCCCTGCAGCCGTACATCAAATGTAACATCTGAGATAACCATTTTCATTGTCATAATCAACTATTTTACGCTTAGACAATGCATGAACCGTGGCTCAAGGGTTTGGTAGTAATCTGACGTGGAGCTCTTCGTCGCAGCTAAGTTGAAAGAGTTGTTTACTCGAACATTATGGGTCAACCTATGGGTCTCGACGTTTTACAATTGTGTAAGAAAAACCGAGAGCGCAAGGTTTGGATGACATGCAGGAATCGACATAATTGGCGATTCTCGCAATAAAAAGGTTAACAAGAGCGTTGTGAAGGGAAGGCCTCCCTGGGCGAAATCCGAGAGTTTCAAACATCATATACAGACAGACCGTTGTCAGCCTTAACATCCCATTCACTGAGATCCCACCATGTTCGAAATTGAACCCTACCTCAACCAGACTGGAAACGGAGTTATGCCGAGATAAAAGTAGAGTTCACACTCCATATCCCAGCAAACCAACACCAGTGAATGCCATCATCGGATTAGCTGTTGCCACAAAGATAGACAACCTGACACTGCGGACCACCATAGAAAAGGATTGGAAAAGTGAAAGGGAGGCTATTTGAAGAGTGGAACGTTGGCGCGAGTGTTTCAACTTTCGAATTTGTTCAGTAGTAAAATCTACAACACAACTCAATATGTATGGGAAGGGAGATCGATAGGCCGCCGATAGCTACCAAAAAGACCTGGTTCGCTACGGCTATGAATGAGCTGAAATTTGAATAGGATAATACCTTTGAGGGAATTGACGGGAAAACTTTAGATGCCAGTGAGGGGAACTCTTGGGCCATCTGACGATTGAACAATCTTGTTCTCAAACTGTAATAAGAATCTTCGGTCGCTATTCATTTTCTGGACACGATATTGTGGATCGAACCATACCTGTGATGACTGGCGTAAAAACGACACGAGCCTTAGCAGTTGTACTCACAGTCCGTAAACGAATGTGAAAATGGACAATGCAAAAATGAAGAGCTCTGCCATGAACTTGATAATTCTCTTCTGGTATATTCCTCTCATGCCATGAGCATTGATAAGGCAGGCCTTCCAGTAAAACAACAGGGGCAGCAGCATAACCTGAAGATGAAGGCATGCCAACTCAGCGCAGTCTGAAGACGATATCTTACATTGGGCATGCCACACACTGATCCGAGCAAAGATATCATGTCCGTTACACCGGGTACAACAGTGGCTAATAAAGCACATATTCCGACAAGGACGGTTCTGACAACATATACTGTGAACTTAGGCGCCTTAGCCGAGATTAGCTTCTCGCAATCAGTGGCAACGGGGAAAAAGAGTGCAAGGAAATGAGAAGCACAGAGGATAAGGATACATATTATTATAGCATAGCCCTGGGCATTGAGGGTAGATGATGTACCCGATATAGCAGTAACAATATCACCATACTTAGCGATGGAATTACCGAAACCTCCGTAACCCGCTACAGTGAGGCATATGTACACAGAGAAGATGATAACAAAAGCACCATAGAGAGAAACACCAACCTTGTCGGGCTTTTCCATATTATTCATTACCGATGGTATCATGGCAGTCAAACCGAAGGATGTCATAAGGGTACCAAAGGCAGCCCCAAGATCGGAAAAATTGAATAATGAATAGGTTATAGGGTCACCCGTATCTCCACCACCAGCAGCCAGCCTGTTGAAGCCAGCTACAAGTACCACAGCAACAGTCGCAAAGACTGATATAACACCACCAATAGACAACCATGCTATCAACCTCATCGACCTTATCCATACAAGGAACACCATAATAGCTGCATAGATGAGGATCCAACTACTACGATTCAGTACTGGCCATATTCTAAGGGTATTATCAGCGAACAATACGAGTAGTACAACACAGAGACCAAGCATAAAAATATCCATAGTAACTATAACGGAGGCTCTACCAATAGTGCCGTAAGTCATATACCCCAAGGACTGGTAGGAAGGGAATACTCGATTGCCATGAGAATCAGTCGAAGCATAGGCCTGGCAGGCATCAGCGAGATGTTTCCCCATCCATAATGATGATAAACCAGCGAGGAATAACAGCACGTAACCACCTATCCATCCTGCCTGTTGCATAACGAGAGGTAAGCCTAGTATACCAATACCAATACAGATCATAACCAGGTTAGCCATCGCTCCAACCGTGGTGGTCTTGCCTCCTCCTTTGGAACTACTCTCTTCTAAAGAGCTTTCCTGCTTTACTTGATAGTTGAAACTATCAGTCGAAGAAACCACCTCGATCGAGGACCTGCTGCTGCTCGTCATGATGGCAGGCCCAAAACAGAAGCCCTTAGTAGCACCTTTAGCCAATCCCATAACACAGCACTATCAGGAGCACAGTGAAACTATCAGATGGACGTCGAGGACATCAGAAGGAACACACTATTCAGAGTCGCTGTCGTCTGAGTCATCATCATCGGATTCCTCCTCCTCCTCATCCTCATCCTCCTCTATCTGCCCTATCAACTGCGCCATTAGGGGCAGTTCTTGGTATGCATCTGCAGAGATAAGGTGAATAAAGTGGGTACTAGGCTTCTAGGATACCCACCAGGGGCACGACTCCACCATGCTAAGAGGTCCTCCTTACTCAAATAGTCATTAGCGTACATGCCCTGAGATACAGTGATGGGTTAGGATGGAACACCGCAGAGGTCAATGTTGTTACCCATATAAACAGACAACATTCCTGCTTGAAGTCCTCTCCATATTGGGAACCCCAGGCAGCATCACAAAGAATATCCAGAGCCTCTACCCACCACTCTGAGAGGCCTGACTGATCTGTCAAGTAACTGAAGATTGAGGCATTCGTGAGCAAGTGGGCTGCCGCCAGCCGACTTACAGCTCTTCAAGAGCATTATCCCAATACTCGTAGAATGATGCCACGATGGGCTGTTTAGGTTTGCTACTATTGCTATCAGTAGTAAGGATCTCACAGCATACTCGTGCAAGGGCCAATACAGTAGCCGTCAATAACTCTGGTAGAGGGGCCTAGACAGGAGTAGGCACCACCACCACCTTCAGACACCAGCACTACTACCTGCTCTGTAGTCCGATATATTCTCAACTGCTGACACACATGTGATACATCCTGCTTCTCGTCCCAGCCCTCCTTAAAGAAAGCATATACCTGGAGTATGAGGGTTATAAGCTTGCGTTATGACTATGGTACTATAACCTCAGTCCTGAAGCCCTTCTTGAATGCATTGTCTCCACTCAACGACTCCCCAACATCATCGTCATCCTCGATAGGCTCTTCAGTACTCACAGACCCCGGCCTAGATGATCTAGCGGCCTGCAAAAAGCAACAATAAGGATACTACGAGGGCTGCCATGCGCTAACGGCGAACAACTTGATAGCCTTACGTGGTCCCCACAAGGCTCTCATCACAGTGCAATTCGCGCAGCACGAGCATTCCATGTAAACAAACGCACTGCTGTACGTATGTTAGTTGTGCGTAGGAGGTTACAACTTCAAGGACTCTTTGATAAGGATTCCTCATTCGAGATTTCCCTAGTACGGAGTCCCTAATACAGACTCCGGATTCCCGAGTGACTTTCGTCATCACATATCAAACAAGACCGAGCTAAAATTATACTCGATATGTAGTCCATACCACCGCTCGATATGTCCATACTAGAGGACGACATTGAAATTTGGAAGGAAAAACCACCCCGTGAGGGATTTATAAACGCATCCGACTCCTCTTGCTATGCTCTGAAGTACCTCCATTTTAGCAAGTGCCTGGGCTGTATCCGGCAATGGGGACTCAATGGTGATTCCATCCACTGGAGGGGCCCTAACCGATGTAGTGATAGTGCCCTCTGGAGGGACCACTACACACTCGATAGTTGTCGATGGTGATACAGTGGATCGGGCATGGAGGATAGACCTGTAAGATTCCTTTGCACAAGAGCGACGATACTGATGATGATGACTACCTTCTGATAATAGACCCTGCTTCTACTACAGCATCCGGCCCTATAATGCTACTCTCCACGACAGCCCCTGCTCCAATCGTAGCTACACCAGGAATATTAATTGTCCGTTAATCCTCGCTCTACTACCTCCAGGAGCAATGTAGCACTGCTGGAGTTTAGCTGATACATCAATGGTGGCCCTCGTATCAATGAAGGCGACTTCTCCATTAACCTAGTAGCGCAAGAGTAGTAGCGGATAGAAGGACACCTGGTATCACCTCAGTTATATCGCTACATGCTTGGCCACCAATACCCCATTTAGAATCCTTGCTACCAAACAGATGCCTGGACTCTACGTTATGACTGGGCCAAGGGGTTAGGAAGTCTCTAGGTGACTTATCTATCATCATTGTTACTGCCGCCTCGTAGTATGTACCTATATACACTCTGCTATGACGACACTGCTGTCCATATAGTAGCATACGTGGGCTAGTGGCTCGGACCAGTTGATGTGGGAGTGGTGGCACTACGCATGCACCAATCCCAAAGGGGCATACGCCATCATCAAATTTGGCACCAATAGTGAGTTTAACCAAGTCGTCCCGAAGAGACCTGAGACGCAACTTTCGAGAAACTTCCCCGCGCTAGTATTATGGTACTTATAGTCGGCTTCTTCTTCCAAAAGGCGGAATACATCAGGTGAGAATACATCCCCTAGAGAACCATCGCCTTGTACCTGACCACGATTATCGTCCCTCAACCCATGTAGTGTAAATCACTACCCCTGTTCGATAGCGTATCTCCTGGAACTTCGAGGTGGAGCCGAATCCCCAGTGGAGAAGAGGCTCAGACAGTCCAACGGTTGTGGAGGACGACTCCTCAGCCGACCAGTGCAGCAACTCTCCGGTCATGATACCCTGCTGTTTCAGGTTATCACCGAGTTCTCCCTTGGCATCCCCGATACCTCCTGTACCCACCACTATGTTCGTTAGAATATCGTCAGATGACGTTGATTCAGTCGAAGCCGACACCTGAATCAGTGTATATGCTCATTGTACTCCTCGGGGGACGGTGTTACAAAGATCCTTGTCATAAGATATTCCGATTTGGACACCTTCCTCCTGGATGAGTGGTATTCCAGTATACTATCGTATATAGGCTGACATAGTCCATATCATCAAAATGTGAACGTACCACTGCCAATATTACCTTGACAACACGTGGCTGTGCTAGGGAGTCTCCCCTCAAGAGAAGGAAATCCTGCTGAGCCAATGGGCACTGAGTTACTCCGGAACCGAATGCCCGAAGTACTTCGCAAATGGACGAGCCTGATAGGAATAACCCTGACCCCCTGTTAACTCACTACCACGTTCATTACATGTATCCGGCACACTACTAACAGTCATCCTCTTGCTACGTGTAAGATGGTCTTCTACTGTTGGCGTGTTGCACTGACGGCATAGGACATATACACTGCCCAGATTGAGGGTGTCTAGGGCTAAGTCGACAGTACGTTGAAGTAGAGTGGTGCCACCAGGCAAAGGTAGGAGCCCTGAGTAGCTTACAGTAATGACTTAGTACCATCAAGTAATATCATTACCCGCTATCCTATCCACCTCGGGTCCTTCACCGAATATTGTATTAGTTTGACAGCCCTCATCGAAGTTCTCGGCTAATACTATACAAGCGTTAACTCTATATTGTGAGGACGTAGGATCGTCCCCGGTATCCACAGCGCCAGCTTGCTGCTTATTGGCGCCACCTTTAGACCCTCCTCTCTTGCCACCCATATCAATGAGCAAATAACTACAATCAACTACGACCGCCCAGGTCACAACTTACTCTCTCCGTGATTGTCCTTAGCCCTGTGTAGGACGAGAATGCTATCCAGAACGTTCTGTCCACCGCTACTACCACTCGGCTTCTCACTGGCTCAGCACAATGATATGTGCGGTTGCCATCCGTCTACATCGCTTTTTAACACTAGAGCTATTACTCGGATGTACACCGTCCGATGAGGAAGACACCATGGTGGCGGGCGACTCGCTCGGGGCGAGAGTTACACAACCGTGCTGCTACGTGACTACTGAGGTTAGATCATAGACGATCTATAACGGTTTCATAGAAGAGAGTGTTGTTGAATCCCCAACACCGCAGAGGTTGGATATCTCATTGATGTTGAAGAGGGGTGACACCCCGCCTCGCGTCACACGATACGCATGATTGTGCACGACTTGGAGGCAAACTTGGATGTGTATTGCCAAACTCGTGTGGAATATTGCCATTCTTGATTGTGATATAGTCTGCCGGTGTCAAACATGAATTCTCACTGTCAATCTTGACTGTAACATATCTCGATTGTGACATACTTGAATTCTCAAACTTGCTTATAATATTGTCATTCTTGTCTGCTCACTTGTCAAACTTGCACGGGAAAAGGTGTAGAAGGTACATGGATGGTTAGGATGTTCTCCGTGTTGAAGTGTTGCCATGTCCGTTATAATCCGATACATCGACAACGGAGAGCGGCGGTTACCGCATCCACACGACGCCTCAAATCGGACGTTGTATCACCGCCCTCGTCGTCCAAAGTACTGATAGTCTTTCTTGGTAACTATGGTCCTAAATTCGAGGGTACACGACATAATGCTGGCTTTGAGGTTGGCGATAGATGTGCCAGCTTATTGGGTTGTACCACTCCTCGGCCATTTCGTAGTTGTAAGCGATGGCTGAGTGATGTGTGTGAAGTGAAAGGTTTAACCTTCGATTATCTACTGGATATGCGAGGAGATGACCTCATCGACAGGAGGAGCGACAGGTCGAAAGAGGCCACTGATAAGGTACTAAACTACCTGGTATGCTTGGTATCCGTGGCTGCTCATTCAGAATGGGGTTTGGCGACCGACGTTGGAAAGTGTTAATTTGCTCAAGCCTCGGACTTTCATGAATCGCTCTGGGTTAGCTGCCGGGCCAGCATTATCCGATCTGAGGCTAAGAGCTGATGATAGAAACTCGGTGATGACACCGCATTCTGGTTGGGAGGATTCCTTTCCTTGGGTAGGCAGGTCCTCGTTGTGTGTGATGATTTGACTATACCACTGGGACAACTGAGAATGAAACCAGGTGGTAGTAGCGGTGGGCAGAACGGTTTGGATAGCATCATAAAAGTAGCCCAATTTCTAATGGAAAATGCCGAGCTCATCTCGTCACCAAGGTAACGCGTACGGAGGAGGTGGCACGTCTAAGGATAGGCATGGGGAAGAGAATGATAGGTGGCAGCTTGGAAAAGGTTAAACCTAGCTTAGCTCTGGGCAAGCTCAATGCTGAGGAACAGGCTCTCTTTTATGAGGTCTCCAAGTATGCTGCACAGGTAGTAGTCGAGGTAGGATGGAATGCGTGTTGTTGGGTGACATCACATTGTGGGTTGTGGGGTCCTGAGTACATTTGGACAGGTCATCCGGGTTTGGCTCTTTCGTGGCTTCGATTTAGCTGCCAACTTGGCAAACACTATCAAGTTGGATAGACGGGATGAGAGGGCTTGATAGAGCTGCTGCATGATGTTGTTGTTTCCTTGCTCTATACAATCCTTGTGTTCTTGTCATAGTCGTCTATCATCGTATGGCCATAGTTGAACAGTGGTGATGTTTTATGCCTGTTATGGCACCTCACCCACTGGACACCCTTACTGATTCGTATTCGACAGTCGCATCACCGAGCTGTCCAGAGGAGCCTCCTCGTCTTGAAACGGATCCCACACCACCCGTCGATCCTACAACAGTACCTGACCCCAGTGATGATGGTGCAGCTGATGAGGAGAACCATCCTAGCACTACTGCTGTTGCAGTCCATGCATCTAGTGACTCCACTGAACCTGTGTGTGGAGAGGATTGGAGTGATGCCCGTATAGCGGCTCGAGTTGAGGTGATAACACTCCTCCTGTAACTGCATATCTATCGAGTGATATGTGTAGGTGAAGTATACGTCTGAAAAGGGCAGGTGCATGTTCAGTCATGTAGATGGAGATCTCATGCATCCTGGAGATATAGTCTTTGCCGAGTCTCCACTGCAAATAGTCACACCAGACACCTGCCCTGTGAGTACAATGTAGGTATCAGTGCGGAAGGTGTCATCATTAGGTCCTGTACGAGTGGCTCAAACTGGAGGAGGCTGACCTCTCTTTGGGTAGGTGTATACCTGGCTGCTCATATAGCTGCTCTATCACCTCCTTCCAGAGCTACCTATTGTATGGCATATGGCAGCATTGTCATCATTATTGTTCCTCAATGAGGATAAGCTAGCACGTTGCTATGATAAGTGGACTCCTCCTATCGATGCTCCTACTAACGGTATGACATCACGCCATACCACATGCTCACCTACAATGGCATTCTTCAGAGTCGCAAGGCCAACCGTCGAGCAACTATCCGAATTGTCAAGAGATGCTCCACCGGTTGGTATACAATCACATAGAGGCAATACCACGATGCGATAGAGAGCCATGGATGTGGAAGCTTACTAAGCTGGATGCTCGTGACTATGTACATCTCTTGCTCACATGGAGGTACTCACCCACACACTCACACACGCTGCTGTTCATATCTGCCTATGCACAGGTTCAACTCGTTTGGCCATCATACTGTGGCTGATGGGTTGATCATGTACGATAAGATATCAATGCTCAGCCACTCTTGCGAGGTGTGACTCATCACCGCCTTATAATATGTGAACAACAGTACTCTCAGGCTACTTGTTGTTGGCACTATGGCCCAGAGGACTCGTTCGTGTTGAGAGCAAGAGTGCCAATCCAGCCTGGTGATGAGTTGACCATATCCTATATTGGAGATGAGGAACTCTTCAAGAGTACCAACGTACGGAGACAGCGCTTGCAAGGTGAGCTATTCTACTCAGCCACGTGTAGGGTGATAAGTGTAGGTTGGTTATTCACCTGTCATTGCCATCGATGTGATGAGCCCGTCGACTATGCTAGAGGGCTAAGATGTATCCAATGCCATGCAGGAGTAGTATATCCTTACACAGAATGGAAGGTGAGGAGATGGCGTGGTGTATGTATCTACAGGCCTCAATGCTTCAGAGCGTTCAACGCCAGGGGAGGCACCGATGGTGCACCTCACCTTGCACATTCTGTAGAACACAATTGGATGAATCTGATATGGAGGAGATGGAGACTCTCGAGCAACAGTAGTATTTGTCGGCTGCAGGACTACTGATGATAGTATTGACTAGATATGAAGAGCGGCTCGCGGTTACTGATCCCAACGATGAAGCCGATATCCAATTGGTGTATGGTGAGGGTATGAAGGTCTTCTCTAGAGGATGTCATTGGATACTGCACCAAATGGATGTATGGTTAGCGACATTATGCAAGGATGGATCTGATTGGCTAGGGGCATCGGCTCATCAGACGGATAAGGCTGAGTAATGACATAATCCTGAGTATGTAGTGTATACAGTCTGGTATAGATACCTATCACGAGTAACACCTCTTGCTAACTATGCCTATGCATGGTGCTTCGAGGAGATAGCTGATACCTATCTTAACTTGATTGCTGCATCTACCTCGTCATCTCTCATCACTAAGGCTGTCTGCAACCAGCTTCTCATGCTTTACGAGCGTTCCTTTTATATGCTAACGGTACTATATCTAGTACTATTCCCTTTGTGTCGACGATGGTAGTGGCAGATACTCTGTGGTAGCGACCATACATTCACTCAGTCGGCATTGTCCAAGTGGTCCAACGTGAGGAACATCATGCTGAGCATCGACTCGGAGCTCTCCCCAACCACCACAACGGAGGTGGCGGCAGAGAGTGGTACTGATACGATGGTTGGACGACAATTAAGTGACGATATCGATATTGCGGATGATGATGGTGTCGTGGGAGCTTGCTCTCCTCTGACGCCTTCCGACCATCAACAAGCAACTACTGGAATGCCAGAGCAACAATCTGATCACCATCCGATCTAGTTTCACTGGAGACCTCTCATGAGTTCAGTTCAGCGTGCGCCGTTGATGCTGATATGCTCAGTATGGCAATACTTCGCTTCAATGCCCTCTCCTATCGCTCTATCATCAGTACTACGTCTTCACTAGAAACTCACAGATTCTTCGCAACTAGAGGGAGAACGCCACAGCATCAGAGCATAGATAATGCTGATGCTCAAGTTCCCACATCCACAACGGCTTCAGACACTAAAGTCAGCAAACGGGCCACGAGTGAGGCACTGTTCCTTGAGTGCCTAGACGAGGTAGTGGGGTCTCATTATATTGGTATATGACGACGCTTGTCGTAGATACGAAGAAGCCGTTGCGACACTGATCCGGATATACATACAAGGCCTGCAATTGCTATCGAGAAGCTTACTCAAGAAGAGACGGAGCTAACTCGGAAACTATTCTATCGACTGGATGAGTTCAACGACGATGAAACCCCACAGAAAAGAGAATGGCGTGTGGCCCAGAGACAGCATAAGATAGACCCTTACTGGGATCCTTTCGTTACGCAGCTTGACCATACTAAAGGTAATGGCTTGCACACGTCTACTATTTGTATTGTTATGTTACGTTAGATAAGTTACTTGCTGATTTTGAGGAGTATGCTAGAGTGGCCTCCGCTGCTGAGGCCAAGAGAACCAGGGTTGCTATAAGGAAGAGCTTACTGCAGTTCAAATTACGATATGATTCATATTCCAAACAATATAGGAAATGGCTCAATCGTGGACCGGCGGAAGAGATACCAAAACCACACAAGATGGAGCAGAGGTGGGTGAAGGCCAAGTCTCTAGTCTGTGTTGATCTGTGTTGCCTATCAGCTTTTGGGAGCCCTCGCCTCTGCAAAAGCAATTAGCTAGAGAGCAGATGCATTGGCGTAATGTGGATGTACTACAACACTATAGGTGATACGATTCTACACCCAAATAGCTCATAGTATCATGTTATCAGAGCACAGAATGGATATATACATCCAAGGCGAGTAACGATGCTCTCTAGGAAGAAACAAGCAGAAATGGTTAAGGCAGTATGCCGAGCTGAAGTCATGTGTGTTGCACCGTACGTGGGCAGTAATTCATCAATGCTCTCGTAGCCCGATAACAGATATGACTGGGTTCCTAAGGTGTACCATACCTTTCCTATCATGGATCCTGTACAATGGTTAGTATATCGACTTAGTAGACTTGCTGTACCCCAGCCACATGCCTATCGGACAGGTATATCGCTCTCTATGCACCGGTCCGATAAGCTTTCTTCAGACCCAACATCACCGAAGCCTAGAGTATCCCAACAGCGTGCTGATGCAATGCTACAAGTAGGCGTTGACTAAGGGGTTGCGCTCCCACCATTGAGCAGGTTCTGAGCACCAAAATAGCACCAGAGTTGGATTATAGCTACTGGCTCAGAGAGAAGCAGCGGCAACAGGAAAGCAAATTACAGCATGTAACTATCACGAATGGTCCCCAACGATAGTCGTTCATACAGGAGGATGTGTACAAGTCAGAAGGAGTGAGCGAGAGAAGGTTTGATGCCAAGCTGAGAGAGTTCCGTCGCAAGGCGGGAATACCGGAGAGGAGGGCTGTTGATGAGGAGTAATGAGTGTGACACATCAATCATGTTGTCGTGTTTCATCATCATCATGATGATAGTTTCTGATATAATGCTATTAACGGTGTCATGTTAGTGAATGCGGATTGAGGTAGTCTGTAGATAACAATTGATTCTCTCCTGTATTGATGAGGTACACCTCGGATAACTCAGTATGCTCGTCTGTGGCATCCAGCGAGCCATCACAAATGGCGATGGCTGCTGCTGCACTGTCCTTATCACCGATGAGGCAGCGGAAGCAAGAGAATGAATATGATATACGGCTCAAGATCATTATAATAGGGGACGCTGGATCCGGAAAGTCATGTATAATACGACAATTTCTCGATGGTGTATTCAACGACCAATCTGAGCATACTATAGGGGTAGAGTTCGCCAGCAAGGTCATTAAGGTCAATAGCAAACGGGTGAAGCTACAGATATGGGATACAGCAGGCCAACAGAGGTGTACAGGGTGAAATAGGGCAGATCCATGTGCCTCTGATCAGGTACCGTAGTGTAACACGGAGTTATTATGGAGGTGCAGCTGGTGTGGTACTATTGTATGATATCACATCAAGAGAGAGCTACAACCATCTACCAGGATGGCTTCAAGATGCTCGATGTCAGACAGGCCAGAAAGACTTGTCTGTGGTCATATTAGGAAACAAGAAAGACCTTGGGTCTGATCAACGAGAGGTGGGCCTTTACTAAGCTCGAGGATATCCACATGATCAGTACAAGGTATCCTTTCTTGAGGCAAGTCGCTTCGCCCAGGAGAACTCGGCTTTATTTATGGAGACATCAGCTGCTACAGGAGAAGGTGTACAAGAAGTATTCCGAACACTGACTACTCGTATATTCAACAAGATCGATGAAGGACTACTGGATCCACGGTATATTCGTCGATTACAACAGATGATTGTGTGGAGCCCTGTCTAGATCGATAACCATTCCTCCATCACCATCTCCTCATCCTCCTCCACCACCACCTGTCGCCACACAAGATGATATATACAATACGAACACTGCTGGTGGGATAGTTCCCACACCATGGTGTCTGCCAGCATTGCTAATAGCGTGCTGGCGTGGTGAAGAGGGAAAAGATGGTACGCCAATGAAGAGGATGGGTCATGAGAATGATGACATGGTAGAATGAGAGTACTACTGTCTAGGCATGTTGTGTAAAATTGGAGTATTAATACGAATGTTGTGTTGTCGTTCTGCTACTACTACCATTAAGGGGTGAGTTGTCCATTCCTTGCCATTGCTTCTACTCGGCATCATCACTTTCATGTCAATATCAAGTTCGATCATAAGAACATCACCGGCTCAGTCCACTGTAGATGCCAGTGCTGTTGCTGCTGCTCATAATGATGAACCCACTCCATACCTATCGATGCAAGGTGACGATGATAGTAGCTCTATCGTCTATGGCTATCATGTATGAATCATACGATGCTTCCCTCAGCAAATAATCGGTTCTTCGTTGGGCGAGTCAATCTCGAGAACGACATAGCAACTCTCATGACGTGATAGACTTCTCTATCGAGCTTGCTCCTGTTGATGGAGTAGATATGACCATCAGTCGATCGAGATGCCTCTGTCACTACTGCCAGATCCTTTGGTAGCAGGCGAGGTTATGAGTATGAAGGTGATATGTAGATATACGAGGATTAGCAAAATCATCGATATTAGGTAAGTCGAGACCCTTCCGTAGAGGATAAGAGAATGCAAAGGATATTCCAACTACAGAATGATATTGCTGAGTACTTACCACCTTACTTCACAGAACTGGAGCATCTAGTATGGTAGATACCTCAGGGATAAGGACACATTGGAGCAGGGTGACGATGCTCTTTGAGTTGAAAATAAACTACAGCTACCCCGTTAGTGTTGTGTGAAGAGTATATCACCATGGTCAACGACCATTCTCTGGTACCCCGCCCCGCGAAAACCATCGTTCTCCCCTTGACGTGATAGCGTTACTATTGAAGAAATAACAAACGTATTTTGTAAACGATGAAACATGTAATAGATTATCCTTCACTTATCAGAAGTACTCTGCCCATCATCGCCCGCATGCCCGTCTTGTATCGCTCTGGCTGCACTCTTCTGGGCTTCCAAGCGTTTATCGAGACGTGCCTTGGCTGCTTCTGCTTTAGATCTGTACTATGCAGTCAGCCAGGTAGCTGATACAGCAAGCATCAGTACCTTTCCTGCTCAATCCAATCGAAATCATCAGGCCTCAGTTTATACATGGTTCCTGCGGTCAAACCTGGTAGACGGAGTAGTCACATAGGCCAAGCAATTCCATCACTCACAAGCCATGAATATAATAATGGCCCATGTGAAAAGGAAGTGAGCTAGTTCGTCAGGAAATCGTCGAGGCCGTCCTCTGAAGAAGATGATCCTTCAACGATATGAGGTAGAGAGAGAGGAACCTCATAAACTTATGAAAGTCCTCGCGAGGTATGTCTGTCTGGTTCTGAGGTGCGGCAGCAGGCCGACGATAACCATGCAGAGTAGGTACACGGGGACGATGCGCCTCAACCTGACGAAGTCACCGTAGGTCATAGCTCTCGATAGCCAACTATACTACCTCTTCCCATGGATCTATAGGCCTAGCACTGAAGGCTCTCCTTAGGCTAAAAGCCAAACCTCGACAACTGCTCAGCCCTCGCCTTACAGACCACATGCCAAACATATCGATTGTTTGGGCGCACGCAAACGTCTCACAAGCACGTAGTACACTGGCTCATCCTCTTCGGAACAATGCTCGGTACTATCCTAATTCTTATCGGCGCCATCTTCGTCGCAACTAAGCTATACCAGCTTGCATGCTGGGTACGCTTCTACTTCATGTTGCCCCCACCAGAGCAACTTAGAAGGAAATATGAGGAGCCTGGCAAACGACCCTTCGCAATGGTAGTAGTATCATCGTTGGAAAGTGTTGAATGATGATGATGATGCTTGTAACAGGTTAGTGGTGCCACTGGTGGTATTGGCTTTGGTTTTGCTCATACTCTTGCCTTGCGGGGATTCGGTGTAGTCCTCGCCAGTCGTAGCGAGTCCAAATTGGAGGAGTGTGCGAAGAAGATCCAAGATGACGTTAAGGCTAAGGGGAAGGGCCCAGCTGAGGTATTCGCACTGGTATATATGGAGTTAGGATTGTTGTCCTCATTTTTGTCAGATCATTACTGTTGTTTGTGATTTTGCTACACCTACCGAGAAGTGGCTACCTGCTCTGGTTAAGGCCTGCGAGGGTGTTGACCTATGCTTACTTGTCAACAACGTTGGTGTGAACAATCCCTTCCCACAGTTTTTTACTGATCACACTGATGAGGTTGTCGAGGATATTATCAACGTGAATATCCGTGCTAATACATTCATCACCAAGGCCTTGCTCCCTCAAATGGTCAAGAGGAATAATGGTGGAGCAGTGCTATCTTTTGGATCTATGTTTGGCCCTCTTGGAGCCCCTATGTTGGCACCTTATAGTGCTAGTAAGGCATATGCTTACTCCTTCAGTTTATCCTTATATGAAGAGTATAGGGCTAAGGGCATTGATTTCCTCGCTGTTAATCCTGGTTATGTTATGAGCAACATGAGCAAGCTTAAGAAGGAGAGTTGGCTAATTACCTCCCCCATGACGTACGTCAATTCCTCCTCTACTCTCTTTACTACTATGTTTTCGTATTTAGATGTGCCGACACTGTACTCCGACAATTGTCCTTCCCCGACCAGGCTGGCTACACTTGGACTGCCACCCATTGGGCTCATCATCTACAGTATTGGGCTGCAACTCGTCTAGTGCCCGAGCGCCTCAGGTAGCTCTGCTTACTCCCATACAAAAGTCATGTGTAGTATTGCTCTATCTCAGATTACAGCAGATACAGAAGATTCATGTTAAGATCAACAAGGCAGCGATGAGGAAGAAGGCCCGTGAGGAGGCCGAGGCTGCCAAAACCCAGTAGACAACGCCTCCTCATCACCCCTCGGCCAGCAGGGTATTCGACTACTCACGGTGACCCTAGTTGATGATAATCAGGCCATTGGGGTTACAGTTGCTGGGATCATCTGTTTCCTCGACTTGCCATAGTAGTTTCTACATGATGACGGTAGCTAGCGTCATTGGGGTTGGAAGTTGGGTTGGCTTACATCCATATGCCATCACTTCAAATCTTTATTCGGATTTCTCTTAAACACCATTGTATTGAGTTTGGAAGTGCTCCTCCTTGGCAATGCTGTACTAGTCTGGACATATACTCACAGTAGTAGGATGTTTGTATCCCTTAAACCACACCTGTAATGATGACCGAACAATTAGGAGGTCGTTATGCGGCCTCTGAGAGTAGTATTGTAGCATCTCCCTCATCTTCGGTCGGGGGTAGAGCTACTGCAGTCATTGGTGATGCCACGTCAACACTGCCTTCTTCTAGCAGTGGTGGGGGTCAAGTATGCAAGTTTATGTAGTGCCCTACTACTGCCCCATGTATTACCATGCTGGAGCATCCTAGGTACTCCTGTGATGTCCCTCTGTATCTATCACTCAGTGTATGTGGAGTGATGAATCGTGTATCGGAGTCTACTATGTGGTAGGATAGAGTATTGCCGAGGTTGCTGATAGTATAGTGGTGGTTGATATCAGGTGTAGTGTGGTGATGGATCTTATGGTAGATGGTAAGGTAGTATGCAATAGGAGTACATATGGTGCACCACTCCAGACAGTATCTACACCAACAGGAGTAGAAGAGTCTTGGGTAGCTGCACATACCCAACCTCGACGTGATGAATTAACACTTGGGACGACATATCCTGTAAGTGCTTGGGACTCCTACAAATCAATATACCTCCATAAGATACGTGAGCTGCCTTCCACTGCTACCCTTGTCATTACGGTCAATCGCGTTAGCCATCACTTTGAATGTGTTGGTCAGTGTGTATTGCCAGTGTTCACAGAGCGTGGTGTACTTAGACAGGGGCGTAGGATCATGGAGCTTTATCAGGGAAGGGATCGGCCGCCACTAGACCAGGACGGAGTGTTGGCATCTTGTCCATGGGATACCCATCATCGCTATCATTATTCTCATGCTCCCACTCGTGATGTTGTTATTGGTGGTGGTCTCGATGTCGGTGAGAACTCTAATAATAGGATATTCACAGAGGAGGGGGATGATAGTGTGAAGGAGGCATTGATAGTCGACTATGAGGCTGAGTGTACATCCAGAGCTACCGGCAGTATTACACCTGCTTCACCATCGCCACCACCCAGTAGCGATGTTATACATACACTGCTGAACAGTGAGAGGAGATACATCATTATAGAACTAAACCCGAAGACCGAGGCTCCAGTGCTGTACTGTTCTGTTAGGCCGAAGGAGCCTGTTCGGACAACATTGCTAGCAGCAGTGCCACCATCTACTCGGTTGGTGCCTTCTAACACTATTCCATATCCGACCAGTATACCTTGGATGCTAGCCCCTACTGATGGGATCAGAGCTGTCCCTCGGTCTACTGCTATTGATGGCATTGTCGAGGGGGTAGAGGCTAAGACTGCTCAGATGCTGGCTATTGAATCCAGCGGTCTGGGTAACGGGGCTGCCGCGCCTTTTGTACACTTCATACCTGTTGTTGATTATGAGGCCCATCGTATCCATCCTAGTGCTATTAAAGCTGATAAACTATCTAGGAAGTACACAAGTAAACTACCACATCTACCAAAGGGACAGAGTAATGTAGCCGCAGCTATAGCAGCCGCACCCAGGCCATCAGCTGAGGAAAATAGGGCCCTAACTCGTCTTGTCCGTCTCCCTGTTATCTCTCAGCCTCTCACTCTTGGCCAGAAACATATTCTCCTGAGGTGCGGCGCTTAGCAGGGAGCTCGGATGATCATAGTACTGTCTGTCTATGAATAGGTACTGTTGGGGTTTGAGTAAGCAACCAGAAGCATTAGAACGAGTAATGCAGGCGGTTGATTGGAATGATGTCGAGGAACTAGAAGAGGCTCAAGCACTCCTAGATGCTTGGGCACCATTGGGATTCGATGATGCACTATGTTTGCTAACCCCAACTCCATCTCCAGTGGAGACTCCTGGGGCTGTGGCTATTCTGAGGCCACCACCACCTCCTGTATGGTATTATGCAGTATCACGTCTAGAGGCTACATCTACTGATGATGCTATCTTATCCCTTTATCTACTACAGCTAACTCTTGCACTGAGGTAGTACCATCTTGGCTGAGTTTCAATGATATCTTCAATGCTATGTGTTCAGATACGAGAAGCCTTCGATGGCACCGTCACTCGCCACCAGTGATGGCGGTCAGCAACCTCAGCAGCATATTCGTGAGGACCAGGATTCAAGTGGAGGTAACGTCGAGGTATCTTCCACTTGATGACTCCCCAATGTGGATAATCAGGGACCAGTACTGGTGGTGGAGGAGGAGGATTCGGTAGGAGGCCACTAGCACAGTTCCTTGTTCGAAGGGCAACGAAGTCTTTGCCTATTGCTACAACTCTATTTTGGATGTTGCAGGTAGTCTCTTATTAGTGTGGATTCACACCTATATTGTAGGCTGAGAGACGTACACCATCTACTAGCAGTGCATCCACGGCTGCGCCTCCGGTCGTCCAACGGAGCACCACCCCTATGTTGGTAAATGCTAATACCTCTTCACTACACGTTGCTCGCGATGCTACCACTGTACCAGCAGAGGCGGGTGATGGTCTGTCCTCTGGAGGCGAGGCGAGCAATGGGCCTCCTTCCAGTGGTGGCTCTGTCGTCAATGACCACAGAGGAGGAGAAGGGCTCCTACCATCTTCACCAGACACCTCACCGATTGTTGGAGATACCTCACCATCCTCAGCAGCAGGTGGCAACGGTGCTCAGGAGGGCCGACCTGTTGATGTGAGGCCTTCACTAGGGTATGACCTTATGTTGGGTTGGACAGACTATTGCTTCATCATTAGGAACACATCCTTCGGTGCTGGTGATGTGTCGGAGCAGGAGATGGATCCAGACTTGGCTGGCTTCGTCCGCCCTGAGGTTCCTTCCTCAGCTGCAGCAGCAGCAGCTGGTCAGAATATCGACATATTCAGTCTCACTGGTAATACCTAGGGCACTATCATGTGAATCACGATAGCATTCCTATAGTGTAGCTCAGCATCTTTGGCGTGAGTTGGGTCGAAGTGAGACACAGAACCCACAAGGTCCGAGGATACGTGAGGCGATAGAGGCCCAGTGCGCGTTGAGACAACGCTTGCTTGATGTGGCTAGAGCTGTTAAACATGCTGGACGGTAGGTCCCCATCAGTTGTATATGAGATCACTGCATGACGTAGGTCACGTGACTCGATTGATCGACGTAATGCCCGACTGAGGGAAGCTCTCCAGGGCACATTCACTGCATCGGGAGATCCCAGTGCAACAGGCAATAATAACGGCAGTGGACTCTAGTAATAGTGTTACGATGTATTATATCCGATATACCTCGGTATTAGCGCTGACCTTACGCGTCCAATACCATCAGCCATAGCCCCACCATTACCAGTGGACCCGAGTCTACGTTTGGTCAGAGTTGACTCTAACAGGAGCTTTTGTATCAAGAGTTCGATGATGCCTATAGTATTGACCTGTGAGGTTAAACCGACAGGACCGGACTACCTTGCTGCTACGAGTAGGAGCTCGTCCAGCGGCACTGAGTTGGTGGTACGCTAGGTTACGGCTTGATCTTGTGTGCCGCTTACTGATGTGATGTTTGCAGAGACATCAACGTTGGAGACAACAACAACAGCAGCAACAACAACAGGTTGGGAAAGATATAAGACAGTACATGTTCAAGGTGGGGGATGATCTTCGACAAGACCAGCTCATATTACAACTGATAACGGTTATGGACACTCTGTTCAAGAAGTATGGTCTAGATCTTCGCCTTACCCCTTATAAGGTAGTAGTAACGACTCTCCTGTTGTCTGCGTCAATATCTGTGGTTGATAAGGTTGTGGCGCTATCACCCCGTGATGGTATGATTGAATTCGTTTCAAAGAGCAAAACACTGAGCTCAGCACTACGAGAGAACGGCAACAACCTCATGACGTATTGTTACTACTCGTTGTCGAGCGTTATCCCCTTTGCTCAGGTATTTCAAGCATTGCGCCAAGGCAAGTAATGGAGCTCAAGGCACTGAGTCGACCAGACTGAAGGAGATTCTGGAAACATTCTCGCGGAGCTGCGCTGGGTAGTAGTAGTAGTAGAGGGGTAGTAGTAGTAGAGGGGTAGTAGTAGTAGTAGAGGGGTAGTAGTAGTAGTAGTAGTAGTAGTAGTAGTAGTAGTAGTAGTAGTAGTAGTAGTAGTAGTAGAGGGGTAGTAGTAGTAGAGGGGTAGTAGTAGTAGTAGTAGTAGTAGTAGTAGTAGTAGTAGTAGTAGTAGTAGTAGTAGTAGTCTTGAATGAAGGTATGACAAATCAGGTACTGTGTCATAACGTATGTGTTGGGTATTGGTGACAGACATCTGGATAATCTCATGGTAGACGATGTGGGTCATATGTTCCACGTTGACTTTGGGTATATATTTGGTCGAGACCCTAAGCCCCTACCACCACCTATGAAGCTATGTAAGGAGATGGTTGAAGGTGATATATACTCCTACTGTACAACATTGAGGATTATCTCAGGTATGGGTGGGCAGAACTCTGAGTATTTTAGGCTATTCCGGCAATATTGCTACTCAGCTTATCGCATACTGAGAATGAATTCAAAGCTTATATTGAGTCTAGTAGGCCTAGTCCAAGGAGCTAATATAAAGGATCTCGTCGAACAGGTAGTACTATGTACCTGATGATGGGTATAGATATCTTGTCCTTCTGTTATGGTTCATGGTGCCGTTCAGGATCCACAGATGGTATTATCTAGGATGGAACAGAAGTTGGCTCCTGAGATATCCGAAGAGGAGGCAGAGTCCCGCTTCCTAGGCCTTATTAATGATTCAACTAATGCACTATTCCCTGTTGTTATGGAAAAGCTTCATCAATGGGCTCTCTATTGGTCGTAGTATACAAGAAATATCTTCACATCTATCATTGATCATCTACAACTGAGTGTGCTGTAATTTTGAAAACATGCCGTTTCTCATGTGTTAATATTTGTTGAGTGTTATGGGGGATACAGCTCTATCCATGTTCAAGAGCCTCTTATTACATAATGGACGTCGACAATATCCTTACGGTGCCTAAGGTGGCTACCTGGTGTAAGGGTGTAGTAGCTAAGCTTACTCGAGCTACAAGCAATCCATTGATGCAGAAATATCTTGGGTAAGAAGCCTTGTCAACCGTGTACTAAGTATGCTGTCATTCGTAGGTATGTTTCCCAGCGACTAGATGCAGGAGAGTATACCTCCCCATCACAGTACTGGGACGAGCTGTATCGAAGTATTAATGCTGTGGAGGATCCCGTAAATCAAGGACGGCTGAACCCCACGATAGAGGAGGATAAGGTCACCTTCAGAGGTTTTGAGACTGTATACAGCTTAGCAGCATTGGATCCTGACGACAGAGCCATCTATGTGAGCAGTATCATTCTTTTATCATCGAAGCCCAAGGGTTGATGTCCTCCTCAGTTCGAGAGTTGGTTCACAGAGGATGTCGATCATTCCCGAGCTGGAGCCTCTGAAGTGAAGGCAGCTCTAGCCGAGTGTGATGTATTCTTCAAGGATATGTCAGATGAAGATGTGGATAAATGCATCGATATAGTGAGTAGCTGCTAACATGGTTATACCCGATCTTTCTATATGTGAGGTACGGAGGAATGCTGGAAAATTTCCCGTTGACTCGCGTCACTTCTTGGAGTCGTTTCCTGCACCTGGTACCATGCATTACTCACGTCGGAAGGCAGCTGACAAGTCCAAAGAAGGGATTGTAATAGGTATTGAACAAATCATTGGAGTGAGGGCCATTAGTATTGAATAGGTGATGGTACATTATCCGATGAGGAGATGGTAGAGAGGAGAGTGAAGTCTGCCATGAGTAAAAGGCTTACTGCTGAGGAATTACGAACAGATATAGAGCGGACTATGGACACTGAATTGAGGGCAAGCTATGGTCCTTTGTACACTACACCATCGGGGGCTCTAGTGAGGGATGTGTATCGGGAACCAATTGAGAAGGATGAACCGAAGAGTAGCAATGATATAGACATTAAAGTGGGCATGGAGTACAGTTATGTGAGGTCATCGAGTTGTTGGATGCTTCTTCAGACAGCTAACGATGGCAACAGCAGCAGTAGCAAAGCCAAGACTACAGCTGAGTTGAGAGCTGAGGCAATAGAGACATATAAACAGAGGAAGGCAGCCTATTATGAGGCATGCCCATTGAGTCTTGATGTAAACTATAGAAAATGAGTCCTCTATCGGCACAGATGCGGTAAAGCATCGTCCTAGTAGTCACATAATATGATAGCCATCGTGGTAATCGTCAGATAGGGGATATATGTGGGACTCGTCGTTGTCTCTCCTTGTGCTTCCCGCAGTTCTAGCGTCATCGAGAGATATACTTATTTCGAACCCGATATTCGTACTCCCCATGTTCGTACTGACCTCTATTTTCAGTTGATTTCTCATTGCCCATTGTCTCACCTCGTTCATACTGTTCGTGAGCTGCTATTTCTTGGTGATACTCATGCCGTGAGGACGAACTACTTGGTACGAGTCAACGATGAGGATGGTTCTCTCCATGCTCCTCTGTTCCTCTTTAGGTACATCTCTGTAGCTGTATACCTATACAACCCAAAGTGTTATGGACTATCCTCAAGGATGAGGTTATGTGGTGTAGTCCACATTCCGGAATGGAACTCGTAAGGGAGCATCATCATCATGTGGATGATCCCACTTGGACATGTTGGTGCACTATCTAGGCTCTGCGTAAGACGAAAGCTTTGAAGGTAGTGGACGATGATGACAACGATGGGGCTAGCAAGAAGTCATATATACCGAGGGATCTTATGAAGCAGGTGACATGATGGCGAGTTGTAGAGAGCATGAATAAGTCATCTTAACATTATCAGATAGAACACCTTATACGGGATCTTGGGAGCAGTGCTACCGTGGATAAGCTCATGAGACAGTTGGATTGGGGGAAGAACTCTCAGAAGAAAGAAAGGTAGTCATAGTAGTAGTATTAGTAGTGTTAGCACTCCTCTTACCAATACTACTGTTGCTTAGGTTGGGACCTCTACGTGAAGTGCTTGCTCGACTCCCTCGAGTATTCTACGAGCCTGATTACATGTTCTTGCGACAGTCACTCGAGGGTGTAGTGGCATGGCCTGAAGATGATGATGACAGAACCGAAGAAGCCAAGATACAGGAGATGACCTTCAACTTCGACAATTGGTGCCGACTCAATGTTAATAAAACGGAAGTGGCCAATAACTTGGTTACCATGCTCACCACACCGGAGTAAGATGATTAGTCTCGAAGCCCCATCGTGACAGCATTCTTCAGGAGCTGCCCTCAAAGGCGTTATCCCCTGGATACAGCTAGGGAGTATCTAGCTACTAATGGAGTTAACCCTGACCATGAGCTACCTCTACTGACCGATCTATTCGTTCCTGGCAATAATATGTAAGTAGCTTGAGCAGCAACAGTAGTAGCAAACGCGTTGGATCGTATCTAAACAGTATCGATTACCATGCATCTCGAGGTATAGGAGCTCATGGTATTCTGTAGTTACCTTCGTAAAGGATACGAAGATGAAGCCTCTCCAAGTGTTTCAACAGCATCAGAGAAGGAGGAGGAGGAGGAGGAGGACCGAGTATCCGAGTATATTTACTCTACATTGAAGAAGTCGCCGTAATATGATCCAGGAGGGATGCTGGTGGCTGCGGAATAATTCCGAATCCTACCTTATGTAGGTACCGAGCCATCGATGCTGATGCTTTACGTAAGGTCATCCGTGATAGCTTTACTTTGGAGGAGAGTAAAGGCTTTGAGGCATCAATTACCGACACCATTAAGGAGGGCCTCATCCCTCATCCAACGCCTTCAACATCTTCATCAGAAGGAGTGGAGGAGAAGGAGGCTCGGGCTGGGAGTCCCCGAATAGACTCTAGCGTCTCGGAGATGGAAGGGAGGGCACAAGCTCGTGGTTTGTATCGGTGTTTCTTCCACGATCCACTTAATATGTAAGATGAGCGTGTGTATTCTCTTCCTCTTACTCGATAGTTACCTTCCTATTACAGATACCTGGCTGCTGATGCTGAAGAGTTCCTCTCTATCAAGTCTGATACACATTCGTGGAATAGACGGAAAACCGAGAAGATGCCAGACTTGAAGCCACTCCCAGAGAGCGAGGTGGTTAAGGCACCCGAGCCTCAAGTTGTTGTCAAAGATGAGGGAACATCGTCAGCACGTCAAATGCATCCCTTACGTGCTGGGCCCATCTCTACTCCCCTTCCGGTATTACGCCATAACCCTCGCCCTCCGTCATAGTACAAACGTTTTTCTATTCAACGCCCGTCTTCCGCGTTAGACTGCATGCTTAGAGAGGCGGGGGGTTAGGTAGTTGTAGTTCAATTGGTACCCCTTCTCCATTGTTATTGTCGAAGACATCATGAACATTGGACAACTCAACGACCTCTTCAGCGTTAAGGTATGATGAGACATATTATCAAGAGTACATTGCTATTGTAGGTTGATGGTATCGATGAGAGGGTGAGGAAGGATGACCTACGTGAGGCCTTCTCGAAGTAGTACTACCTTACCTGATAATGTTTGATACTAGTGATGAAACTCTGAGAAAGGAGCAGTGGAGAACAGTAGCACAATCAAGGCTAGAATGCTCATAGATTCGCCTCGATGATCATAAGGATCATGAACCGAGGCATCACTCGATGAACCCGCAACCAGCCAGCTTCCGACCGACAGTTCGGTATCTAGTACAATACGTGGCTGCTGCTGCTGCTGCTACTATTGGCAGTCAAGTCGATGTTCCTGTTATAATCCCGGACATTACCAGCCGTGGCTGTTGATCCTTTAACTTCTTCTTTCCCGTGCTGCGACGGCGGCGGTGGCCGTGGCTCTTCCTGCTGTTGTTGTGGCTGCTGCTGCATACAGTAGGACATCGGTATAGCAATATTAACAGCCCACTACCGCGCTCCTACTCAGATCACTTTATGTTGCATATGTAGTCTCAAACGTTTCCTGTTCAGGTTCGGTGAAATTGGAGATGTCTTCATTCCAGTCGATCGTTATACTGGTGTTAGTAGGGGATTCGGCTTCGTCAGAGTACGTACAGTCAGTGCCTACTTCTTTTAAGGATTATTCCTTATAATCAGTTCTATGAGCGTCGTGATGCTGAGGATGCCATTCGCGATATGGATAATAAGGAGTTCCAAGGGAACCGCATTACAGTAGCTGCTGCCATGTACAATAAGGAGAGTAGTTATGGCAAGGGGTGAGTGCTGCTATTATCACTGCCATCTACTACCACAATGCATCATCACGCTCTCTGGTCAGGGGTAAGGGATACGGTAAGGGTGGCTATGGTGGTGGATACGGTGGTGGACGCTATGGTGATCGTTCTTATGATCGTTATGATGATCGTTATGGTGGCGATAGTCGCTATACGAGTTCTGGTCCCTCTCCTTATGGAGGGGATCGTCGAGGTTCTTCGAGGGACAGGAGGAACTCCAGGTATAGTGTGTCACACTCATTATCATTACTAACACCTGACCACCCCTTGTTGTCAGGGATCGTTCCCGATCTCCATATGAACGTCATCGTGATGATGACAGTCGTAGCAGGAGTCGTTCCAGCGACCATCATACTAGTCGTAGACGTGACGACAGCCGGAGTACTTCACGGAATGATGACAGCCGTAGTGATCGATAAGATCTGAGTTAGCCTTCCTGGTTGCTATAGACGTAAAGCAAACGTGTTACTATAGGAAAACACTGTTGCACATGACCATAGCCTGAGCAGCAGCAGCAACAACTCCATCACCCTTCCACGTTTATGGTCACACCAGGGATACTATCCCTCATCATCAGTACCATCACTCACAAGACAGATAACTATTGTATATTCACTGGGTATGTTATCGTGTTGGTAGTCTTCTCAAGTGGTGGGCCTCTGCTATTGACTATACTCATGATCATCGTCATCGCTTTGGTATGTTTCGAAGTTTATTCTTACAACTCTTTCATATTAAAGTTTGCCATGAGTCTTCGCGACGGTCCGATAGAGAACGATGACGATGAGCAACAAGTGTTGCCAACCAAAGCAGACGGTCTCGGGTTTATTGAGCCTCTCACAACTCTCGCTGAAGAGTTCTCTCACTCCCCAGGACACCAGCGTAAGATTAGGCTCATGGCTGAGAAAGTAAGGCTTTCTGCTATTGATGGTAATGGTCAGGAGTTCATGGCTTCTGTTTTATGACTATCAGGTAAAGGCGACACACTGGCGTCGTGTACGTGGTGATGGTAACTGTTTTTACCGTGCTTTAGGCTCCACACTTGTGGAGAGAATGCTTGTAAGGAGGTTGAATAGCCCTCTGCTTGTTAGAATACCGACTTCATGCGTTGTGAATGATAAATGACTATGTATTCACTCAGTTGGAAGGAGACATCGATAAGTTCCATACCTTCGTTCATCATGCACTCCATCTTGCCCGTCGTAGTGAAAAGATAAATGGTAGATGGCATGGTCTACTACAGAGGGATGAGGAGGGATATCGTCGACGTGCTGGTAGAGATTTCTTACACTACACCAGTGCTGATAGTCCCCTACACTTTTGGAATGAGGTATGCTCCCATTATGGGGGGGAGGGAAGGGCTGCCCGATCCATTCTCCTCAGCTTCTCAATGACAAGACCATGGATCACGGGATCGTGGCTTTAGTCCGACTAGCGACCTATCAATATGCTATAGAGAATGAGGACATGGAAGTAACGATATATGGCTGTGAACTTGTGTATGAAGTAATTGAATATCTGCAGGTTGGCGGTATGCCACTGGCAGAGGCGGCTCTAGCCAGCAGTGACGCTGAAACCTTCGATGAGTGGTTGGATAGAGAGGTGAGGACTGATGAGCAGGAGGTAGGAAGCAGTGTAGGATACTTCCTTTCATTCATCTCTGGATCATGTAGGCTGGCTCCTTGGCTATGATGCTAGCCGCTTCGGCCCTCAACGTCAGATTCCTAGCAGTCAAACTAGACCGCGATATGAAGACGGCTTTGCAAAGAGTCGAGTAGTAGCATTCGGATGAAGCTATCTAGGAGTTGGTATAACTCAGCTTAAATGTTGATTCCTTGTTGTAGATTCTTACCCGTTGGCCGTTCCGCTCCAAAGGGACCGGATGAGCGTTGGGATGCCATACTTTTATCCAAACCAGGGCATTATGACGTTCTGTATGAGTCACCTGTAGGAGAGGAGCTGTTCTCTCTACAGAACGAAAACAACGTAAATGGCTTATACCTCCGTTGTGTATGCATGTCGTGTGTGTATCAGGTCATAGAGAACTGCTCTTATTGGCGTTGTAAGCCTAAATGCCCGATATGTAGATGTGATATTGAAACGTATGAAGACGTATTATGTGGTGTATCACCAGACTGTGCTGAATTGTTCCATCGATGCTGGTAGTACTTCAGGATGGTTATCTTCCTCTTTCTGCCCCTCGCGTACCGCTATCCTAGTATTGTGCTTTTCTCGTAGTTTCAAGTCCATGGTGGATCATGATAGCCTAGGACAGTCTGGAGGAAGTTCATCTCATGTTGTTGTGAGATGTCCGGTTTGCCGCATCAAATTTACTGAAGCCGAAGTCGAGGATGCAATATCTGGCTCAAGAAAGACTGTGTGATAGTCAAGTTAACTGATAATTCTCTTGTTCATCAGCGCTTTGTGACATCGTCACAAGTTGTTCAAAAACCTCACATACTTTTGGGTTGTTAGTGAATGCTGCTCGAGTACATAAAATGCTTACCAACTACTATCAAACGAAGGAATTAACCTCCAATATGTAGTCTGCTCCCTCCATAGCTCATTGTAATAGCAGATCCGTCTCTGGCCAAATACATGAATTGAGTAAGAATTGGTAGGTGCCCACTTGGATGATCATGCCTACCACAATAGGATCATCGCTATGCTGATATGCAAATCAATGAGCTGGTTAAATGTCGTATAATCACTCAGACTCTCCAGTGTAGGGAGGGAATATGCAGCCGGATGAGGCTTGGACATGGACAGTGCCGTTATAAGAAGGGGTAATCGGGTGTTATGATGTCGAGTATAATGCATCATACTGAGCTAGTGGAGTTGTGCTTGAGTTGTATAGTAAGTTGTGTATAATTTATAGCTCGACGCCTTCCATGAATATGACGGGAGACGTAGTGCACGATGACCGTGTACAGAAGACCCTAGAGCGTATAGCTGAACGTAACGCGGCATCATGTGATATGATTCGTATCCTTCCTTCGTATCTGCGTAGGTCGATATCACCGGGATGTGGTAGTGCTCTTCACAGATGTTAGGGAAGTGATTGATAACGGGGTTTAAGGAAGCATTGGCACAATAACAGCAATAATAGTAACTCAAGAGTCGTTGATGGATATGGAATATTCATCACAATAGTAACACATTTCAGAAAACTTATACCATGGTACAGCGACACTTCAATCGAGTATATTCCACTCAATTTCATCAATCATGCCAGAGCTGGGCTGCTGATCAACATAGTCGTTGTCATCGCGAGAGCTTCCTCCCCTTCCGCCACCGGGGAATGCTATTGATTGATCGAGGAGTGCACGCGTGTACCTTCGGGAGCCGTTCGAGACCATCATACATGAAGAACTTTTGTACAATCTGCCGATGTCAGGAGAATTGATCAAATATCGAGCTGCTGCTAAGTCATCCGTAGAGTACTCCTCGAACCCTATCCCTACACCACATATCTGAGATGTAAGTCCTACTTCGAGACATAGGTAGTAATGACATACTAGAGATAGGAAGCGAATATCCTCCTGGAGCATTTTATGTGGATCTAAATTGCTATGCCGCACATATGGTGACGTAGTGAGCCCGGAGGGAGGCACTACTGGCAACCTAACAACGAGAATGTGATACGATACAAGGTAACAGGGAGTGTTACGATATGTCCAACGCTGGATGCAGAACACGAGGCTCTAAAGGCAGCTGTCGGCGTGTAGGCCTCATGCCAACTCTTGCTGTACAGCCGCCCACCAAACCAAACTGGCATGGGAATGGTAGGTGGACTTGGAGGATTTGAGCAATACAGCTGAGAGCTGGCACCAGCTGAGAGTACTGAATAATAATGAAGCAAGGATATGCAGAATAGCATTATCACACCATCGGACCACTCACTTTAGTGATAGCCCCCTGTACAGAACGGAGGTCACCTAGGTCTGTAGAGGTACCCGACACCATATGGGAGCTACCCAGTCTTGAACCTACGCCGAAAGAAGTTACTCCCGAATATGATGGAAATGCTACGTGATGCAAACATTCGTGATACACTGAGTGAGCCAAGAGACTCATTGGATAGAGTGGCTCTACTGCTGGTAGCATCACCTCCTCCTCCACGCTCTTCACTCCGTGACGTGAGCAAGGGAGACCATAACCTGAGAGTCGATCCCCCATCGTTTACAACAATAGTAGCATCCTCACTCGGGTGTGTCGCTCTCACGCTTCCACAGGATGGGGTATATGTCCCGTAACTGTTGGCATAATACTGTTCGATGATTAGTTAACGCATGGATGTTAGCCCTAAGCCTATGATATGTATGGAAGGTGTTCAATGCACTCAATGACGATGATGATGGAGCCTCATAAAGAGGACTATCTCCATGAGTAGCAGCATCACTCTCCTGACACCAAACCTGGCCATACCCGGTGATTGTGCTTAGAGCGCTACATTGATGAAAGCAGCAATATCTCTACGAACCTCAGACTCGGCAGATATATCATCATGCAGCTTCTGACTGTATACTTGTAGGGTCTCCCTCCAAAGGATCATCGGGTCGATGACGGCCTCGCTGGACCCACCCTTTGAGTCAGAGATCGCTATGAGCCTCGTACGCAGGTCCTCGATTCGCTAAAGATGGGAAACTGGGAGGTTAATGAAGCCCGTGGGTTGATTACTCTTTTCAAGGAAGCTATCTCTTCAGCAAGATGCGCCCGTTTAGCGACTAATGCTGATACATGTCCCTTCGATGCATTCCGTGGAGGTGCCTCTATCCGAGTTTGTATTGCATGCAGTATTCGTGGCATGTTCACCGTCTACAATATCAAGCGTGGTGTAGGAACATACGCTCTTGGTACGCAGTAGTACATATCGCTCAAGTATTGATGCATATTCGGTGTTATACTCATATATATCGGAATAGCAACAACCCATACATGAATACCTGCAATATGAGGCCGCAGCCGGAATGACGACCATACTACCCCTTCCCACCACCACCATCCTACTACTACCTCCATTGTGCCTTCCCACATATAGTGCATGGCAGTGACCTATTGAGAGGTGCTGCTCCGGCTTGTACTGGGGTCTTCCGATCCTTGGAGCTTTTGTCGATGCCAACCTCTTCAGAGGCTAAACAAGCGGATGGGATAATGATTGTATTTAACTGTCTCCCCTCAGCGAAGGCGGATGCCATCTCCATGGGGATCAATACAACCACTGTCAAAGTGTGCTAGATATAAATCCTGTGGGGGATCATCAGGTCGTGCTTTCTTCCCCCCCCTTGACCCGGAGGTAGGATGCGGAGGTCGCCCAAGCGAGGTGTCGACTGGACTCCAGGCACTGGAGGGCACCACCCAGGCGAACCTCCTCCTCCTAGTGGACAAGGTGATCAACTGCAGCAAGCTGCTTGCACCTCAGCAGTGACCACCTCGTCCACCCTCTCCCATTCCTCTGGGTCATGGGATTTCAGTATATTGTCTGGAGTAAGCACCGACTGTCACCAAATCTCACCGATGTCACTATTTCTTCATGCAAGTGTATGTAAGAGTTCTTAGGGCCGTGGACAAGGATGTGCGCCGATGTAGGGGCAGGAGGATGATGAATGTATATGCTCTAATGGATGGTGTTGGTGGCTCATTAGTGCTTGTCCAAGGTTCGGCTCGAATTTGTGATATTTAACATAGGTCACGACTCTGTTACAGGATTCCTGTACCTTCCGTTGTGCCACGGACGGAAACTCAGGTTTGTGACAAAGAAAACGGGAGATCGCAGATCTTTAGAACTTTATCAGCTCAAGGCTTTCTCAGTTTCATGATTGGATGCTTCTGCGTCGCAGAGCGGCAGGTTTCTCACGACATATCGCGGGATTAAGATTCGGGAGGCCTTGGTGTGTTACCTTGCTGGGGGGCGGCGCCCGTTTTTCCTCGACTAATTCCACAACACAGGGAGGAGAAGCAGGCGAGGCCGAATACCGAACTCACAGTGTGAACTGTGCGGTGAACGATAATGGAGTCCTGCAGCCGTTGCAATCGAAGGACTACCTCCTATTTGCGCTTTCGAGCGCTATACCGATGATTGGCTTTGGGTTCATGGATAATACGATCATGATTCAGGCAGGGGAGCTTATCGACATGTCCTTCGGTAGCAGTGGCATCGTCCACACTGTCGGCATCGCTCCTTTGTTCCTAGGCGTGAGGTTCGGACTGTCAACACTAACGGCTGCTGCAGTTGGTCAGCTCTTCAGTGACGCAAGTGGAGTCTGCTTCGGCAGCACTGTTGATAATCTTGTCTGCAGACTATTCCCCAGACTTCAGCAGGGCGAGATAGGTACTATAGTTTCAAAGGTTGACTCAGTTGTGGTACGCATCATTCTGTAGGGAAACGCATAACAGCAGCGCATTTACAAACAGGAAGTCCATATGCAGCGAGACTCAAGTTCTTGAGAACGTTTTCGGCTGTTGCTGGTGTTATGATTGGATGCAGCCTGGGAATGACACAATTGGTGAGTGTGAGGCTATCGCTCGTCTAGGGGGGAAGTGCATATCCGTGTTAGCTTTTTATGGATCTCAAGAAAGCGGAAAGGTTGAAGGCCCTACAGCAATGTCGTCCCCTTTTTGTTACCTTGATGGAAGAGGGGCATGAGCTCCTCAATTGTCAAAGGTATATCTATTCACGATAGAAGTAGAAAACTCGTCCCACCATAGATGTTCAGATGCGCACTGTATCTCAAGGTGGACGATACGGCGGGCCCGGTGAGCGATCCAAGTGAGATGAGCTATTCATCCGATGTTCGCTCGATCTTCACGGCGACGTTGACTGTAGATACGAGCGATTATGATCTGTGGATGGCTGGTATGCCTTCTGAGTCCAACTCTATCAGCGATTCCGAGGAGAAATTGGAATCACGTATGCGAGCATGGCGAACTATGGAACAAGATAAGGATGGGTACATCAGTACCAACGATTTGGCTGCCGTGGTAACCAAGATGGGATATAAGTCGGCAGTGGGACAGGCGCTGGATGCCAGGAGCGATAATCAAGTGGCAGAGGTAATCTCCGACGATATTTGGTAACGGGTTATTTGTATGAAGAGGATATAGATACTCGCTTCGTGTGAGGTTAAAGGTGACAGAATTAGTTTTGAACAATTCGATAGAGTCATGCCCAAGTTGATCAAGTTGATAAATCAAGACTGTCGCTTTTCTCCCAAGCAGAGGCCTCTATTAGGTGAGAGGGAGCATGTAACATAGTCTAAGCTTTATCATAGAGCACGTTCTACGAACTGGTGAAGTATTACGTATTGACGATGTTGAGTCGCCGATGTTGAACAAGACAGGGCTGCGAGTGGATCCTAATAATATGGACCGATACAGAGGTGTCCGGACACACTCGGTTTTAATATGCCCTGTAGTTGATCCAAAGACTGGTAGTAATTAAGAGTAGATGGACCGGCAAGTGAGCATGGTCTTAGGTACCGCGATTGGTGTAGTTGAATGTGTGAATAAATATCGAAAGCATCATCATCACGCAGTTCCATCTAGGCAATTGAATGCTTCAAAGCGGAATGCACCGGAGATAGTGTGAGGATCGAGAGGCTGCTCGGCGCTGAATCGGAGTAGCCGGATCTTTCACAGTTACGTGTCCAGCGAGTCGGGGCCATCTGGCGGTCTACCACCCACTCCAGCGAGTCAGTCATCAGCCTCAACTACACGCAAACCGGACCCAAACAAAATACAACGGACGCAAACCGTTACACATGACTTTCAGAAGATGAAATACAAAGGGTAGTATCTATGGGAGGCGTGATTGGAGTATATGCCAACTGGCTCATGTAGCGCCAATCCTCTCAGATTCACCGACAATGACGTGAAGATTGTGACCGCCTTATGCAGTCATGCAGCTACCTTTGCTAGGCAGTGTGGCTTTATCGAGGACTAAATACAGCAGCTTCGTGAGTACAGTTGTCAACACCCGTTCAACAAAAGCATCAAGTGCTAGTCGCATGTCATGAATATTATAATACTGTCCCACGTAGGGTTTTATTTCTACCATTGCTCATTGCATACGACAGTTGAAGTCGCGTACTACTAATACTAGTTGTGCCAAGTGATAATGTTTATGCCCGTGGCTTGCACTGGAAATCTTCCGTGTTCTATCAGTGGTTCAAGGGATGATTAGTGGGATGATGAAAAATGGTCAACCAGCAAAGGAACACGATGCTTAGAGGATATGAACCAGGCCTTCGTGACGGAGGGCCGGCTCAGCTCGGGTACTCCACATCTATTGATTGGGAAGTCTGGAATTATTATCGCTGTAGAGACAACGTCATTGGTGGGCGAATGTTTCATGTCTCACCATGGTCCTTCGGTTTCTCAAGATGTGAAAGCGCGCACTAAACTCTACTCTAAATGGGTCTCTGGTTCGATTTCTAGTTGGGGCATTTTTCGTGGGAAGAAAACGACGCTACATCGCGAGAGCGGGTGTTGTTGCGGCGTATGTTCCACTTGCTCCGTATCCAGCTTCTGGACCCACTTCGGAGCCACTCTGGCGAAATCCTCAAGCGACAGAAAATAGCACGGATCGACGATAGAGCCCAGGAGTGGAGGATAAGTGTTCTACTTCAAGCGGAATACCAGCTCTACCTAGCCTAGGAAAGGGGTTCTGGGAAAAGGGGCCAGAATGAACTATTGGTCGTGTGTCCCATCACAAGTAGAGCACATCTATTGATAAGATTTGCGTATTGAGTGCCTCAGTGGGTTGCCAAGAAGATATTACTCTAAATCTATCCTAGCTGAGCATTGTCAGCTTCTATCACTTCGTGTGGTGTTGCTAGTCGGAGCTGTTGGAGTCTAGGTAAAGAGAGGAAGAGTGAGGCTTCTCAAGAATATTTGGTGCATGTTATGGTTGTGGATTTCCATAGGCCCTCTTTTCCCAATGTGTGGACGCGTAGCTTGTACCCTTCCACCCCAAAGGATTCAACGCATTGGAAGGGCCAGAAGGATGGTTCGGCACTCGCCAAGTGGAGTAGCCCCAAGACCCAGATATAATGTCGGGCCGATGAGCCGTCTACCCTGCATGTAAGTCTGTGGGTGTCCTAGGCTCGACAGTGGCTTTACGTGTTAGTTCTCTGGTTATCACATTTACACCAGATACACTCGCAGTTCGGGAGAGGCATCCGACGGAAACTCGTCTGGAGAGCGGTGTTTGGAATATATGAGTTGGGGTCTACAGGGGCAAGGCACCCAACATCTGTCCACCATCAATGCGAGAATTGAGACGGTTGCGACTTCTCGAATGTAGTTCAGATAGAAATAACCACACTTCCTAAACATTGCACGCAGTTACTCTCCTCATTTGATACACCGCGAACGTTGTGTACTCATCGTTGATGGGTTCTTCGAGTGGTATACTAAGAAGGATGGAAGCAAAACACCATACTTCATACGATTCAATAACGATGTTGCTGAGAAACCTTTGCCAAGCGAAGATACAATGGGTGAGATGTGTTCGTTGAATGTACTTCCCTAGTTGCCTTATTCCTCGGAGCAGATCTTCCAATTGAGGACGACGCCTGGCCAGTTGAGCAGCAGTTCTGGGAAAGTGCGGGAACTATACGTGAACCTTTGCTCATGGCCTGGTAACCTCTCTTAATTACTGATGAGCATCATGAACAGCTGTTTGTTAGTCTGTATGCACCTCCTGTGGTGGAAGATGATCCACACAGTTTCACCATTATGACGATGGAGTCGGCTGGTCCCGTCACTAAAATTCATGACAGGATGCCGGTCCTATTAACTCCCGAGTGTGCAGCGGAATGGATAGGTAACGATCACACACGGGCTCCCTGCTAGTACTCTATCAGTACTGTTTGTGTTACCTAGATCGATCGAGGGCATCAGACACTGCATTACTGCGCAAGATAGCAGAGGTCGCTCGTGAAACAGCCAAGCAGAGTGTTACAGCATACGAGGTCCCAACACTGGCCAACAACATACGGAATGATGTTTCGGATTGTCTACTTCCGCTATCAGCATGGAAAAAGAAACAATTCGACAATGGGCTAGGTAGATTCTTCAAGAAGGCTGCCAAGAAACAGGAAACCGAGGCTCCTGAACGGCAGCCTGACGATGCGGAAGACCCGCCAGCCAAGAAGAGAAAGGCTGAATAATATCATCGAGTCTTATATGCCAATATGACTAGCACTGATCGTCTTTCTTTGGGATGATCAATAGTATCAAGTTAGTACCATTTTTAATTGTTGGGAGATTGAGTTACCAATAGGGACGGTCAATTAGGGATGAATAGCGGATTGTATGTGAAGATCCGCACACGTATCATATCGCATTGAGCAGTGACGCTATCATGCCAGCAATGTCGTTCCTGATAATGATGATGATGAACACAATTGCTATCGGGTAATTATTGTCAGCGATTCTTTTGGGATTGATGTTCTGTGTTGATTCATGGGTGAGTTCATTAAAAATCCACTTAATCATACCGGAGGGATGTATGAGCCTCTCGATGGAGCGAACATCAATTGAACATGATAACGTATCACTGAGAACGATGATACTGTTACTATCGGCGGTTGGCCTAAGAACTTAAGGTATACGCTCAGCTCCTCGTATTTACCACTCGGACACCAATACGATATATCAGAAACTATCGAGCACAGAGCACTATCATGGGTCACCCTGAGGTCCAATAATGAGACCTAGCCTTCTCCAGCTGTATACGACTGTGATGTAGCCGCTGATGGAACAACGGACTGTCCAGTTCGCTGAAATCATACCTTGTTGGACTAGTGGTATTTCCCCCTCACCTGCATTCCTGTTGCCTGCACCTTCGCCGCATATTCCTCTAGTTCACCCTTCTCATATTTGCCTGACCACGTATGATGGAGTTTATTGACCAAGGCGTTGTGGGTGGCTTCCAGTTGGTACGTGTAGTAGAGATAGGAGAATGATAAAAGGAGACTCAAGCCAAATAATTTACGTGTTGGTCTGATGAGGTACTTCGTGGGAACTGAGGAGAAGGGGCTCAAGTCGTCTTAATCGGAGGGGCGTCGCGATGCTCATGAGGATGTTGGTGGCAACAGGACATGTGTATATTCCTACCTTTCCTCCGGGAACGGTTAACCATGAAGTATAGTGACGTAGTGAGTGTACTGAATGCCACACTTTGCTTGGCTGATACACGGAAGACCTGCCAGCTCGTCCTAACCCTTCTATCTACCCAACCATCTGAGGTGTTGGGATCGGTGTTCGCTGACGGCTCTCCGGCCGGCTCCATCACTGTACTCCGATCAGGCCCTGTTGGGTGGGCACCATCACTATCCTCTGGTGTGAGTGGGCTTGGTAGTACATTCATCGTTGATGTTGACATTATGGAACTCTACGAGCATAAACACACATCTTTACATGATAGAAAGTCTAACTCATTGGTGAACATTGAAAAAAGAGTCTATTACTCGTGAGAGAACATGTGCTTGATAGGTACAGTAGCCTTATCAAGTGATGAGGTGATGTCATACACGAGTCCCTTCATCTTCATCATATCCATCCTGAACTGACGAATAGGAGTACTCGCCTCACACCCTTCTACTGTTGAATTATCACTACTGTGTAGCGGATGGTTGCGACTATCATCTGCCATCAGCTGCGAGACCTCATTCCTCAACCTCGCATTGAACCGTCTCAGCTCATCTCGTCGGTTTCCCACAGACGGTGCCCTTCGAGCTGCGAGTATGTGATCGGCGGATTCATCCCCTTTACTCTCGACTCCCCATGAATCGACGCTTACATTCGGAGATTCAGTAGCCCCTCCGATTCCTGCTCGATGGTAGCACTCGTTCGGCCTGGGTACATCTTCGATAACCACAGACGCTGGATCTATTAGGTCGAGGTCTTCTAAAGAGCTACTACTCGATGATGATGCCGACCTTCGACTCGGATGCATTTGATGAATGATAACTGGATCATTATTGGCCACTTGGGTTGCGCTGCTCAGGGTACTCTCCTGGACGGATCTCACAACCTCAGATTCATCAGAAGGTATACTAGAGTTGGGAACGTGTATTGAGGGCGTCGAAGGGCGATGTCCACCCTCATCAGTGGTTCCCTCATACACCTCATCCCTCCCATTATGCGTGTATCCTACACTGTAGTCCCCATGCTTGCTGCAGGCCCTGTGAGTAGATGCAGTGCAATGATCGGTATGTACCAGAGACTCCCCCCTGCCTTGGTGGAGCATTGTCAACCAACTATACCCTACACCCAACAGGATATCATCCAATTCCCCGGCTCTCCCTTCTAGTGCATCAATACCATCATCATTATAGACAGAGTATGACCGGTATCCCCTCTCCATAGTACCCTCTCCTCTTCCTGTAGTGCCTAGGTAGGTCAAACTCCTGATCAATTCCTCCTGTTGGGAGTGTAAATGTTGCAAGGCTGCTATATGGTGAGTTGATATAGGGTAGTGATGATGATAATGGTCGACGTCGGAATGGGGATCGCTTCCCGTTCCGGAGGCATTACAACTCATTCATAGAGCAATGACAAAAGAAGTTCGACTTGAAGTGAAAAGAGAGCGCGAAGGCTACTACGTGACAGTGCTCAAGTGCTTATGCCTCTCGTGGAGTTAACTGCAACACTAGTTACTACAATAGAAACAACGTTGGAAGGTAGGGACTAACGATAGCAGCTGTAGAGACGTATACCAAGTTGAAGTACCAGTCACTACTGGGCAACATCAGTCTTATCCTCCTTGTGTTGACGCCGCCGATCCTTCTTAGCTTGGAATTTAGCCTTCTTGGCGGCTATCTCATCCTCATTGAGGGCACGCTTCTTATTGGCAGCTCGTCTCTCCTTCATCTTCAGTCTACGTTTCATTTTACGACTGCTGGTCGTAACTGCTGGAATATAGAGTAATCTAGTAACCTAGATGTTGTAGAGATATGCCCACCATCTGAGGAGGGCGCTCCCTCATCTGTTAATGCCTTATAAGCCGCAGCGGTGACGACGTCATCGGAGGGAGCAGCCTCGTCAGCCTGCTCATCTTGCCCTAAATCAAACCAGAGGATGATAGTGTGAGTAGAAAAGATACGTATTGTAATAGACATACCTGCTCCTTTGGCGTCGCACTCATCCCCCTGTTGTTGTTGTCGGTGTAGACGCTTCAAGTGGGCCTTGCTGGCTTTATGCTTTTCGAGATCACCCTGGCTGAGCAGGAGTTTCTCAGGGCACAGTTGACAGCAGAATTGTTCAGCGTAGGTATTAGTCTTAGGTGCAGACTTCTCCTCGTTCTCTTCCTCCTCATCATCATCACCTATAGAAGATCATAAGGTATACAGTAGAGATCAAGGAGCCTCGCCGCAATACACCCCTAATGCCCATATTCCAATACCTATCTCATCCTCTTGGTCCAACTCCTCTTCTTCCTCATCAGAAGAGCTGCTGCAGGATGTATCACCCTCGACAATAGCTGATAGGGGCATCATAGCGCGCTGACATATACAAGGTGAATACATCGACCCTCACTCCGAAGAGACTACCTGTAGCCTCCGTCTCTGCTTATCCGTGAGCTCATCCCCATCACTGTCACTATCCGATGCATCACTATCCTCGTTGAACTGGGCGCGGCTTATTTTATCGATACCGAGGACTCGTTTAAACATGAGAGTGGGGGAGAAGGAGAAAACTGACAAGCTGAGAAAACTCCTCAAAAACTCCATGCAATATCATATATCCGTTACCAACAGTTACACTCAAGCATCTCTCATAACCGCAACGATAACCACCGATGGGAGGAAACCAAATCAGCATCACAAACATGGATACGATAACCATACCAACTCATCGGGTCCAAGTCCAGGCTGATCTACCACTCGTTTCGAACCGTGCCCATCATTACTCTGTACTATATCATCATCATCCTTCACACACCAGCCATTACCCTTCTTCTCTTTAGAATCCCTCAATGTCATAGCACGAACCCGACTTATCCGCTGTCATCATTCTCCAAAGTCTCTCCGAGGCTGACCTACCCGTATGGGCTATAACATGTAAAAGCACTAGTTGTAGCTACAAATGTCGCAACAAATATCGGTACCCAATGGAAAAGGCTCCCACCCTAGAGTTGCGAAGGACCAAGAGTGGCCTTGGCGACACATGACCATATGGTTATGCCATAGATTGTGGTAGCTCGACCAGCATCTCGAGCAATTCATCGTCCCAATCTCTATGCAGAAGATCTAATGTCCGTGACACCTACTCGGCGACATACCGATGTCGCCGAGCAAATGGCCACCATTGGAGGTCACCTTATGGAGTGTCCTACAATGGCCCTATAACTTGCCCCAAAAGAGCACTTCACTGTTACCTAGGAGGCAGAGGAGCGTTGTTCTAGAGAGCGAATGGTAATCTAACAAATTCCTTAAAGGACTTTGAGGATCTCACGTATGATCCTCAAAGAAGGAGGCCGAGGAGCTGCATCTTATAACACTTAAGATAAGCTGCTACGTAAAAAGCGTTAGGCTGGCCGGATTCAGCTCACCCTTGGCTTACGAGGCCGAAACAGGGAGTTTCGGCATCAATTTTTGGACCTTCCGACTGTCAGCACGAGATATCAACCACAACGATAGTTCGCAAATAGACCGAGAAACTGCGCTCTCCAGGGATAGATCCTGCGACCTTCTGACTGTCAGCACGACATATTAACCGCCACACCAATTCACCAAACCCTGCGAACCGCCGCTAGTCCAGCTCAATATGAATTTTTTTCGCTCCCAGACAACGGCGCCTCTACCATGCTCCGTGACTTCGCCTCACTTTTTATCGGTCGTGATAATGAGTGGTGCCCTGGTGGTGTGATAGGTGGCCTGTGTTTTTGCCCTGCAGTTCTGCTAACCTTCTAGTTTAGTTCTTACCACCAGCAATTGTATCATAGTTTTTACTGTGTATGTTATCTCTGTCGCTAGCAAGTTTCAACTGCATAGAAGGTACGGCAGCAGCAGTAACAGCAGCTGGTAGAAGTGCTGCTGCTTCTCGTGGTGTCCTACACCGACCGTACCAGCGAACTTTAGTAGAAGGTAAATACCATGTACTACCTGTAAAGGAAATACCTCCTCATATTATAAGACCAAGACATGGTAAAACGAGTTCTATGCTCTCGTGATGTTGACTTGTTGTGGTAGGTATACGGGCTGATGGAACAGTCCCTCCTGCCATGCCACCTTCGGAGAGCTATACGTGGCCTCGGTTTGAGATAAAAACTCCCGAGGTTATAGACCGCATTCGCCGAGCTGCTCTATTAGCTGGTAAAGCTTTAGATGTTGCTTTGAATGCTGCAAACCCAGGAACTACGACAACTGAGATAGATGACCTGGTCATTGAGTGAGTAGGGCTCCTCTATACACGCGATGATGGCAAGCAATCTCCTATATCGTCTTGATCTGGTACTGTTCAGTTTCCTCGTTTCCGAAGGAGCTTATCCATCTGGTATCAACTACATGGGTTTCCCCAGAGCAGTGTGTATGTCTGTGAATGAATGCGTGGTAATGGCATCTACGTCATCATAGCCACTATCATCTCTGTTCTCGCCCTATGAACCCCCTTCTAATTCCTTGTGTACCTATCTTAGGTCCATGGTATACCTGATACCCGACCCCTACAAGCAGGGGATATAGTGAACATGGATGTTACCTGTTATCTAGATGGAGTGTATGGTGATACATCAGATATGGCTATTGTTGGTGGTGAGGTGGATACTCAGGGAAGGAAACTTGTAATAAGCGTGTGTCGCGGCTAGTAATGATAATATTTGATTTAAGGTTAATGCAAGCCACCGAGCTTTAGAAGCAGCTATTAAGGCTTGTAAGCCTGGTCAGCCCTTCAACGCTATAGCAAAGGCGGTAACGGCATCTGTGGTTCATCAGTCTAATGAATGATGTTTGCATTCACAGTCATCTTAGGTTGTCCAGGTGGCCCGTGAAGAAGGTTTTACTGTGAACCCTCAGTTTTGTGGCCACTTCATCGGCACTGAGATGCACTTACTACCTAACATACTGCATACACCAGAGCATGGTACGGTTATAATGTGGGCTGGGACCCTGTGAGCTGGTGATGTGTTAAGTGTCATGTTAGGTGATATGGATGAGATCATGCAACCTGGGCAGGTGTTTACTATAGAGCCTGTCCTTTGCGAAGGAGTGGGATGGAGTAGACAATGGAATGATGGATGGACGTAAGCTAGTTAGTGATAGATGCTTGCACGGCATGTATACGTATACAGTTACGTAACCGTTGATAACGGTAGGGCGGCACAGTGTGAGCACATGGTCAACATCACTACCGATGGAGTTGAGATCCTAACTAAACGTCCTGGTGCTGTAGGCTGTGGCCAATAAGCTATGGTCTCGAGCATCGTTATGAAGATGCTGTTGTTCATTACGAGAACTGTCCCTCGAGGTGTCACGCCGTTGCTGTGGGTTTCCGCTAATTGAGAGTCTCAGCGAGTTGGGTTATTTAATACTTGAGAAATGTACCCGACCGGGCTGGATATAAGAAGGGTGTGGTTCTTCATCCGCATCCTCCTCGTTGTATTGTCTTCATCCATATTATTATAATGGCTACGGCAATGCCTGGTGACTTTGTTGGCGCTGCTCTGCAGGTATGTGGATAATCATAATAACTCTCGAGGTTTAACTGGGGTCTCTCACTTAGCCTTGGGGTAGCACCATCGTACCATCTATGGATCGAGCAATACCCCCACATCTCCCACCTCCCCCAGTCCCCCCTCCGTCAGCATTTCCACCTCGTACATCGATTCGCGTCGAGAATATGAATATCATCAATGACTATGCAGTGTAGGGCTCTCTTACCGAAGTGCACTCATCATGCGCGTCATCTATTTAATCTATCCTTACATTAATGCTATATGTAATAGGCTCTCACCACCTGGCAGGACAAGTCGGAGGCCTCCCATGAGGTCTGACAACATCAGTGTGGATCAATCAGTTTTATCCATGCAGAGACCACAATTAGCTTCTCCCTTGGAGAGTAGGGTATTTGGATATGCTTAGACTATTGTATTCCATGATTCGCATCCATGTTAGATCCTGAGCCGTCCGGTCCACTGCTGCAATCCCCCAGACAGCAACAGCAACAGCAGCAAATGGCGGGGGCGGCGGCAACATCTCGTCTCCTTACCACTGTGAGACCTCTGCTCACACTATCTTTGACTTCGATCAAAACCTCGTGCTCAGGAGGATCGGTCAATCGAGGATGGTGTTTCGAGTGGTATGTGTGCCGAATGCCGAGCTAATGGTGTTCCACCTGGCTTTTGTATGCATGACAGCGCTCCAATACCAGTGGATCATCCCAAGACTAGTCAACAGCAACAAAAAGAACTACGAGTTATCTCATCCCGTGATGGATCTAGCCATCCTAGAGTCGGGTCTGCACATACAAGATATCGTCCGTTAAGGTATACTACTTGTTCTCACTCCAATCAAGCATTCATGTCAGGCTCCGGGCATTCCTTGGAGCACAACGGGCCGAGTTAGAGAGGTATCTGGGGAACCCTGAACTTGTTGAGAAATCGTTCCAATTCGTCAACTCTATGAGGATCAATGGTCCACCAGAGCTATAAGCAGATGGCGGGATGAACTGATATACGAAGCTGTTGATAACTCAAGAATCGGCTTGAGTCGGTCGTTGTTCTTGGAATCGGTGCTTGTGTCCTCTCTTCCTCTCTCCTCATCTCGGCTCTATTCTCATTTTGATAGTCACCTCTCGTTGCGTCCTTATACGGACATTCCTCTGCCACTGGTTCTGCTGATGCTGCTCAATCCAATGCGACATCCACAGTGTAGTAGTTGATGATAATGATGTTCCTCTTATCATTATTATGATCATCATCATTGTCGCCGCAATAAACAGAGTATCATGCCATTCGGCCGCTTATTTTTTGCCCCTCTGACTGCAACATGTTATGGACGTGAATAAAAGATAGTAGTACTGATGCCCCTCCATGTTGGGTGAGTGATTGTAAGCATCCCTTTTATGTGTGGCTAGTTGAGTTTGTAGTGGGCGATATATATTCCCTGTAGTCTCGCGACTATCGATTCCCTGATGATACCTCCAAATGATAGAGAAGAAGATGCCACCAGCGGCACTACTCCCGGCTCTGCAGATGTTGCTGACCCTACGCTGGTCATTTCTGATACGAGCAACGGTGGCGTAGATGCAGTCCCGAATCCGCAGTTGTTGATAGATGCTCAGAGGTGTTAACGATGAGATCATTGTATGTTGTAGAGGAGTTCCTAGCAGGATGCAGAATGAAAGACCTAGGGCTCAGACGATCGGTGAGGGAGGCAAGGAGCATTTGGCCGTTATCGAAAGGCTCCGTGAAAGGTAGGTTACTCGATAACTTATAAATCATAAGAGCTTTTAGAGGAAGTCAATGAGCTAGTTTATGTTAGACGAGCAAGCATAGGCCAGAGCATTCTGCTCCCCAGCGAGACTGAAGCAGGGAGTCTACGTGGAGATAGACGAAGGCGGAAGAGTTGGGCAGTGCCACTTAGAACTAGCATTCGCTTGAGTAGGACCTGGCAGCTGATGACTGGAGCCGTTGAGTAAAGCGGCTTATATCACAGAGTTTTATTATTATAGATAGCGATGGAAAGAGCGAGGACGAGATGATGGGTGAAGTTCTTGGTCTTGATGGGAGCGGACAGGAAAGAGATGACCATTCGGGAATAGAGTAGGGTCCAGCTCTACAGCATTGAGTTGAACCAAGACACACGTCATGATTATGTATATCAGGGACGAGGATTGTTGTTCAACTCATAGCTTCACTGAAGACGATGGCTACGAAGAAGAGGAGGAGGAAGCTCCTCTACCAGCTGGTCAGCGGCGTGTTAGTGCAGCGTCTTTGGGTGAGTTGGCTCCCATCGGCTCTCACCGGCTCTTATGCTGTCTCTACTCCAGACTCTGACGAAATAGCGGTAACATCTCATCAGGATGGCAGAGGTGCTCGACGGGTTCAACTGGTAGATCTACGGAAGAGCATACGAGCCCTCGGGAACTACGCACAGGCTACCCGCTTCCTTGCATCCAAGGTGACTTCAGTCATTACTTAGTAACCTCCACATTATAATGCTGTCTTTTCTCAGACTAGATTCAGACTATCTGAGCTTCCCGAATCTTATAAATTAGCCGAGAAAATAGACAGGGTTCTGAGGATAAAGACATCAATACTATCTGCAGCATGGCATGTGATCATATGCAACCATGTCTTTGCATAACTCCTATCTCAGTATTGGATCCGTATCTCGAGGTCACCTTGGGGTATATTCATGTTATATAGAGTCCCTCTTCTCCTACAGATCCCAATTGACATCCTTTTCATCTACTGCCCGGTACAAGTAAGAATTCTTAATACTGTGAAGGCTCAGTCTACACGTAATGCAAAATCATGCTTCACGTTTTAGAGTGATAATGAAAGTATGAGTCTGTGTGGCACGTATCCAGGGTTGGTCGAGTTTGGTCCGACCGCCCATCTAGTAGTAGTGTTATTAGTATGGATATCTACATACATCTACGTCTGGTATCAAAGTAGCAGGCAAGTGATGAGCTAGTCCTCTCCATGGGTAGTATCAGCAATGGAGGTTGCACCTTAAAGGTACCTCAAACCGCTGTTCATAGGCAGAGTATCGCACTCAGCGTTGATACCCGTGAGTCACACTCATTTATCATCCTTCTTGTTCATGCTATTCTGTAGTGTCTGTCCTTCTTGAGTGGTATCCTTGTAACACGACAGTTCCCTGCACCACCATCGAGTAACGATACTCATCAAATACTCGATCCAGCTGTTCTAGTTGATGTTGCGGCATTAATCCATCTAGTAGGACGATAGACCATTCATTGTCTAACATACTTGTCAAAACTGTATCTCGACCGGACTATCCTAGATGATCATTTCACTGCTTAGATAGTTGGACTACCCTTCTGTTTGGTATCCGACATCATCATCTTTATGCGTTGGCCTTTCTCAATAATTCAGCATAGCTACTTTGCGGATTATGAGAGAATGAGGTATCCGAATGGCACCACACCCTGTCTCAATCTTGACCATCGACCAATTAGGTCCATCGTATTCTGTCTCTCTGCTACGCCATTGATGTTCGTGTCGCAGGTGATAGTTATGATACGATTCAGATCAAGTATGTGGATGGGCAGTGTGGTTCCTTTAACCTTCTAACTCGTCATTGTTTCCCCCTAGGTTCCACGAAGACAACATCATTACAGACAGCGGATGATGACTATGGATCCCCCTTGCCTTTGATACTCTGGGGAGGAGCTACCATCACAGCTGTTAATCTTGTCGGTTACAGTCAATCCATGATAGGTCCCTCCTCTCATCCCGGTTCAGGTAGCGAATCTTCTGAGTTTGCGATATCTACAGGATACAGAGGGGACGAGTCTAGGAGAGACAGTAGCAGAGGTGTGCACTTTGAGCATCAATCCTAATGTTATAAACTCAGCTCTCTATGCATCCAGTTAGGCTGTTGTGGTAGGTTCCTCCATTCGTTAGAGCATTGAGATCGAATCCTCATATTGATTATAGGAATGTTGGACGATTGAATGAAACCCAAATAGGTCAGATAGCAGACTTCTTGGAACGTAACACAACATTAGCTCAAATACGTTTCTCAGAAAACAATGGGATAAGTATTACAGGTGATAAGAATACACCCCAAAGACTCGCCAGGAACCGTCCTCAGGTGCGGAACTCATGGCGAATGCTGTATGGGAGAATGTGAAACACAACATTAATGCTGGTAACAATATCTTTATGAGCGGCTATTCCTCAACACTTCAGGCGCACCCGAACTCTCTACTCTAAAAAAGTTCAATACCATTGGCATTATAGATATATTATCATCTACCAAAACAGTACTCTCACCCGATCCAGTTAGAATACCCCTACAGATGCTTCCGGAGGAGGAAGCTAAGGCCATCAATATGGATGACATATCATGTTTTGAAGGGTGCCCATTCGTCACCACTGCGTGGAGGTCTGAGGATCCCAGTGTAAGTACACCTTTACACGTTATAACTCGAGCAAGTGTACAATGTTATATGTTGACTTCAGGTGAGAGTAATGTTTGATGCCTCTGGTATATTCGCATTAACTCTCATGAAACGTAACGCTCAGCTCCTTGAGGTGGACATTGCCTCAAATCAACTCACTGATGCCTGCATAAATAGTCTCATAGACCTCTTGGCGGCATGTAGTATTCTGTATGGTCGGAATAGTCAGTGGTAGACTCCATAGGTGAACGTCTCCAGTATTTGGATATATCGGCTAACTACTTCACGAACAGAGGTATAGCATTATTATCGGACAGCATCGCCACTCATGGAAGGTTGAGAAGTGTATACTCAATAGAACATGCCTTCTGATATGCTTCGGTTTGATTGTCCTCATTGTAGGTCCGAGTGAGCCATGTTCTTCTAGACTTGGATTATCTCAAATGTAGATCTACTCTGGACCTGAGTATCGGCGCAGTGTATCGTGGAGCAATAAAAAGGCATCAAGTGTTATCATACTCCCAATCAAATTGTCATATAGATGCTCTACAAGAGTGAAACAATCTGCCTGGAGGTGTGGCCTTGGAATCAAACAGCTTGATACAGACTACCCATCATTGGATGAGTAAGCTAGTACACTCTATCGGGGATACCCTCAGTCTTGGATGCTTTGTGATAATGAGCGCTTCTCATTATGCTTTTCACAGGTATGGCCTAGCATTAGTGAGAATGATCGTCTCTGACTATGGCCTGGCCAGGGATTGGTTCCGTTCCCAACCCTTGGATATTCAGTATCATGCCATACAACGAGTACAGTACTGGTTAATAAATACGCCTCGCAATGACCTATATCAAGATAATGAAAGATCTTGGTCACTGTGACGCTGATGAGCCAGGATCGTTGCTGGATCTCACTGAGGAGATTGCATTGGCCAGAAATCCTCCCAAGCAGATGAGGCTTGCTAAGCTGTCATTATATCATCTGCAATTCCTTCGATATGAAACTCTTGTAGATATGAACAGCAGTTCTCAAGGGCTGTATTGTGCCCCTCGGATGCAATCATAGTCGCATCATGCCTGACAAACTGCAATACGGTTCTTACGGAGTTGTCCTTACGAGGGCAACGTATTGGGGTGCAAGGGACGGTCGCTATCATAGATGCCGTTACGTAAGTGGCGAGTACTCACATATGGCCCATGACCTGGTTCACAGATATCTTGGTGGTGTGAATACACTTGACATAGCCTTTAACGAGATATATTCTGTTGACGATGAGGTAAAAGACTCAACTAGTCTACACGCAGCCACTGCCGCCACCGATATACGAGGTAATGATGCTGAAAAATCAGCATCCTCTATGATCATTACGGTCTCAGCCTCATCCACGAACAGTACCGTAACAGACGCCTTAATTGACGCGCTGACGTCTACTGATAGTCTCAGACTTGTCGACATTACAGGTAACCTCGCCTTTTATCCATACATAGACGATATTAATCGTGCTGCGCATGTTCATGGTCTCACTAAGGTTACTGTACACTGATAAAGCTTATTGTAGAGAACATATTGCGTTTGCCTGGTGACAACGGATTATCGTTGCACATTCGATAACGAAAAACTGAGGACCGTGTCTCGCGAACGCTTGGGTACTCTATAGCGATCGGGTGAACCATTGTTATCTTGAGTGCTCCCGTATCCCTCGAACAATGTTGAGAACCAAGCAGCTTCGCCAGCGGCGGGGGGAACGTTGCGAGTTCATGGAAGTCAACATTGTCGAAGGGGAGCGGGCGATTTCGGCAATTGCCACTTACGCTATCACGATTCGTTCCCTGAGGGATAACTGGGAGAACATTCAAACACATGAAATGGAACGGAGTGGTCGAGAGACAAATATCTGATATCATATCATCTTGCTGGAATGGTCTAGTTGGTTATGACGACTGCCTAACACGCAGTAGGTCCCGAGTTCGATTCTCGGTTCCAGTATGTTACAATTGTTATACACAAAGTCACATAATTCTGTGTCAAACACATAAAATGGAACCGCATCGTTGAGAAACAAATGTCTGGTCGTGCACTAACCTGCTGGAATGGTCTAGTTGGTTATGACGACTGCCTCACACGCAGTAGGTCCCGAGTTCGATTCTCGGTTCCAGTATCGTGCAGTCATTGTACAAAGAGCCGCACAACTCCGTACAAAATATACTATGGAACGGCGCCGTCAAACGATTGCTCGAGCGGTCTAGCTAGGTATATGATGAGTGTTACATATGCAGCATGTTTCGAGACCAGCCTCCGATTTCGGTATAGCATAAAACGTGGGTTTCACTCACTCCTGAATCTACTCCCATTGCCTCCCGTTCAACCACCACATCCTATTATTCATTCACGCTAGTCACTAATTTCTATGAATTCAACTTGCGCGTCCACCCAATCATCCATCAAATTACTGACTTCATACCTTGCAGTCTCTAAATTCACACGCATTCTTTTGCGTGCGCATCTCCATGCTACTCAACCTACTTAGCCTACTGGAAGCGACAGTGCGACACCACAACCCTCCAAATCTAGGCTTTTCACGGGCCACCATGGCCTTATCATTCAATTTGAGGCGTTATTCGCGGGTGCTGGTATGTATCATGTCATAGTTACTCTGTGATCACAGGTACATGTTGGCAGCGCCATGCGGGAGTGAAAGACGGTGACCATCCACTACTACCCTCAGAATTTTATGGAAAGAAGTTGATATTGTGGTGACTGGTGACACTTAACCTGAAAAATTGTTAATAAATCGATTCAACTGTTTTTGCTGAACAGCTTCGTATCACCACTATCTACCCAGATGCGCATGTTCATGGTCTCACTAAGGTTACTGTACACTGATAAAGCTTATTGTAGAGAACATATTGCGTTTGCCTGGTGACAACGGATTATCGTTGCACATTCGATAACGAAAAACTGAGGACCGTGTCTCGCGAACGCTTGGGTACTCTATAGCGATCGGGTGAACCATTGTTATCTTGAGTGCTCCCGTATCCCTCGAACAATGTTGAGAACCAAGCAGCTTCGCCAGCGGCGGGGGGAACGTTGCGAGTTCATGGAAGTCAACATTGTCGAAGGGGAGCGGGCGATTTCGGCAATTGCCACTTACGCTATCACGATTCGTTCCCTGAGGGATAACTGGGAGAACATTCAAACACATGAAATGGAACGGAGTGGTCGAGAGACAAATATCTGATATCATATCATC